AACTAGCAGGAGATGAGACGAGTTTAGGGAAGATATCTGTGCTAAAGATATATTTTTGGGATCAGCTGTTATTTATTTAAATTTAAGAAGCAGGATGAGGTAACCAGTGGAAAAAGATGATAATGTAATGAGCCAAGGGGCTTGCCAACTAAGAGAGGAAAAGAGGAGGAAGTAGCAAAGAAGACACAGAAGGAACATCCAGGGAGGGAAGAGAAAAACCAAGAGTGTGTAGTGCAATGGAGGTCAAGTGAAGAAGTAGGTCAGGTATTATTAGGCTCCATGAGATGAGGATAGAGCACTGAGCACTGGGTTTGGCTACATGAAAGTCACTGGAGACCATAAAAGCATAGTTTTGGTGGAGTTGTGAGAGTGCAAGCCTGACAGGAGTACGTTCAAAACGAAGGAAGAACTGGAAAGAGCCAAAATAGATGAGTTTGCTGTTATTGTTTGGCTGCAAAGGGAAGCAAAGGGATGAGTTTGTAGCTGAAAACTGGAGACAGGGAGTGGAGGAATCAAAAGGTTTTTTGAGACTGGAGAAATAAGCTTGTATGAAGATGAGAATGATCCACAAGAAGAGGAAAAATGATATAGGACAAAGAGAAAAAAATTGCCACAATGTTTTTGAGTAAGCGTGACCAGATCTAGTTCAACAGATGGGGCTGGTTACAAAAAAGTTTATTTAGTAACTGGGAGGAAGAATATGGGTAGAAATTGGTGGATGGGGAAATGGGTGGGGAAAAGTCTCACAGTTTACTTTTGATGCTCAGTTTTCTCACTGTAAAATGTAAGGTCATTAGTTGAAGATAAAGGAGCAGATGTATTGGAAGTGAGGATAAAGGAGAGAAAGTAATAGTGGTCTTGATAAGTGGGAGAATGAATGAAATTAGGGAAACACAGTATATTAGGTAGCATTAAAGGGTTCACTGTCACCCATTTAAAGTAAAATTCGTCATCAAGTGAATGTTTTTTTCCTACACATTTAGTTACTAGGCTACAGGTGGGAGTGAAATAAAAGAAAGAGTAAAGAACAGTGAAGGGTGGTAGAAGTGAATCCTAAATTTTTTGGTATGCAGGGTTGTCAGGATTGTTGGAGGTAGAATTCTAGAGGGAGTAAAGCTGAAAAGATAATCACAGAATGAAATGTATAAAATTAAGATTATGGGATGGGCATATTAAAAGCTTCAGGTATAGGCAAAAAAGCCCAATGGAAAATATCTAACAGGAATATTGTAAAACTACACCCTACATAGGTAATGCAAGTTTATAAGGAAAAAGATAGGGGGAGAAACAATAAGTAATAAAGTGCAAGGGTGAAAGAAATATATCAAAAATGCAGATCAACAGTATCCACTAGGATACCAACAGCCATGAGTATAACCTAGTTACTAGTTAATTTCCTAAGAGAGCAAGCAATTAACTGCAAGAGAAGTCCTCAGTTTGACCAGCTAAACTGCTCCAAAGCAGGGACTCTTCCACATAATAAATGCTGAGTAAATATATGTTCACTGAACAAGGATAAGAGAATCTGATAAATATAATGGGCAGTATTTTCAGCAGCAGTTTTTACAAACCTATTAACCAACATTTTCAAATTAGAAAGGTTGATCAGAGAAGCACTATTATACAAGCAATAAATTACCTATATAGAACATTCAACTTGGACCAGACAAGACCAACTCCAAGATGTTCTTAAATCAGAAATGGTGGAGCCAGAATATACTGTGTCTCAAAAGGCAAAAGAATAAAAAAAGAAAAAGGTATTTTCCCAAACATAAATAATAAGTGAAAAAAGTGAACCAAACCCTATCAGATACCAATCTGATAATTTTTCAAACAGAAATACTGGCGTAGGAGAGACGTACCTCCTGCGTAATCTAGAATTTTATCTCTACACTGCCCCCATTCAAAATTGTTTATAAAGTATCAGTGCATGCAGCAGAATCAATTTACATCTAATTAACTTACGATTAAGAATTATTTATTAGTTTGAGTTTTAATATTATGGAAAAATATGCAGTGACATTTGAAAGCAGTTCCTTTTGACTTACTTTAAATCTGAGGCTCTTGGAACATCAAGGTTAAGAAATGTTGGAAAGAAATCAAGAAAATGACACCTGTGTTGCTGATAACAGTAGGAAAATATTTTGGAAGTATATCAAATTTAAAATATATTGACCCAAGTGAAGAAACTTTATAAAAATAAAAGCACCAAAATATAAGGAAATATGTATAAGGATTTTATAGTAACATTACCTGTAGTGACAAAAAACTGGCAACAAACTTACTATGGCATATATTCTACAGTTATTTAAATCACTAACAACTGACAATATCCATCAATTACTGAGAGAGGAAAAAGGAAGTATTAGAGCAATGCGTTCACATGACCCTTTTTCATAAAAAGTATCACCATCTCCATATGTGTGAATATTCATTCGCTCAAGAAATATTTATTGAGTGCCTATGACATGCCACGCACCATTCTGTGATGCATACATTGTAGTGGTAGAGAGAGTCCAATAAGATAACTAAATAAAATACATTTCAAATGTTACAGAGTGAAAATAAAGAAGGGAAGAAAAGTAGCAAGAGTGTTTGTGGAAGGGAGACTAAAATAAGAGGCAAATGAAGGGACATTCAAGGCAGAAGTCACAGGAAGAGCAGAAGAGGATGGTCTGTATGGATGGAGCAAAGTGACCAAAAGTAATAAAAAAATAAGATCAGAGGTGTAAGAAATATTATAGGTGGGCATATCACATATAGTCTTAAAAGACTTTGTAAGTAATTGCAGAGGTGCAGACTTTGTTACCATGCCAGGTTTTTAGCTTTAGTTATCTTACAATAGTGACATGTTTTTCTTTATGCATATTTCAGTTTAAATTGAACACATTATTGTAATAAAGAAAAAAAAACTGAAGTTGACTGAGAACAGGTATCTTTAAAAAGATATCTCCTATAAATGGTCTCCTGTCTCTATAATCTACAGGTATGCACTAAGTCCCTAGATGTATTTAATGTAATGTGTAAGTACCAAAGGCATGAAGAAATTAAAGATTTTATTTAAAAACAGATTTTTATGTCTCAGTTGTAGAAAGGATGCTTTCTAGATTTGATAAAAATGCAAAAAGAAACAGTAAGTATCATAATATAACTTAGAAACAGAAGAATTCTAGTGCAAAAATAGGAGAGTAATGCAAAAACAGGATATTATAATACTTTGGGAAGAAAGAACTAAAAAGAACTAAGAGGTATGTTATGGTCAGTTAAGGAATGAGTGGGACCCTGGGAATCTGGAAGGAAAAAACTGGGTTCGAATCCTACCCTAGCTTAATCAAGTTATTTAACTTCCATAGATTTAATTTCTCCGTCTGTAAGAGGAAGGGAGTAATACTTTCTTTTAGTGAGAAGACCAAAATAATACATTTTATCATACAAATTGGCCCTATTATTTTGCTCGGTATTTAAGAGGCATTAAATATTAGATAAAACTGAATATGAAAACAGGTCAAGTAATAGTTATAATAACTATCTACCTCTCAATGTGCTCATGTTGTTTTAAAATTTCAAAATGGATGGGGCGCCTGGGTGGCTCAGTCGGTTAAGCGTCCGACTTCGGCTCAGGTCATGATCTCGCAGTTCATGAGTTCGAGCCCCGGTGGGCTCTGGGTGTGATTCTGTGTCTCCCTCTCTCTGGCCCTCCCCTGCTCACACTCTGTGTCTCTTTCTCTCTCTCAAAAATAAATAAACATTAAAAAAAATTAAAATTTCAAAATGACCAAAAAAGTGAATTTGTTTGATCAGAAATTAAACCAGAGTTTAAAAAATGAAGAACCTCCAGTATTAAGTATATTTTCTGAAAAATAATAGCGTATTTTCACATTTAAATTAGAACAAAATGGGGGTGCCTGGGTGGCTCAGTCAGTTAAGCATCTGGCTCTTGGTTTTAGCTCAGGTCATGGCCTCACAGTTTGTGAGACTGAGCCCTGAGTCCAGCTCTGTGGTAACAGCACAGAGCCTGCTTAGGATTCTCTCTCTCTCTCCCGCTGTCTCTCTGCCTCTCCCTGCTCGTGCATGCACAGTCTCTCTCTCTCTCTCTCAAAATAAATAAACTTAAAAAAAATAAATAAATTAGAATAAAATGTTGAGAATAATTCATATTTTGTTTATGTAAGTTGAAATACACAATTTAACAAAGTCAGCAAGTATAATAAAAAAGGAGCTGACTCAAATCAAAAAGATTAAAATTATCACTCTATATCCTTTATAAATTTAAACAGTAATATTAAATCTGAAGCATTTTTAACCTTTTTAAAAAAGATGAAATATGGCAGAATATGTATTCCATAATATTCAATGTCAACCAACTCTTTTCTTGCTGTGATTACTATTTGCATTACATTCCAGAATGCAGAGTTATTGACAGGAAGGGGGAGAAAGAAGGAACTATGGGACTGTCAAAACCAAATGTTGTTTGGAGTATTTTACTGCCCGTGAGAATAGGTAGGAATGATGTTGTTCTGCCTGCAAGAGAAAAGTACAAAAGAAATCATCCATTTAAAAAATGAACTCATTAAACATTCTACCAAGTGGCTGTAACTCACTGGTTGGTTATGTGTTGGTAATGCATTTGGTACTCTGATAAATCTGCTGGCAACAAATTACAAGGTGTAGGATCAGTGAAAGATCAATTTGGATGGGGATTAAGAGATCATTCATTCGTTAAGACTCAACTTGATTATTAGAGGCTAGGTTTTCTGACTTCCAGATGAATTCAATTCCTATAATAAAATTTAGTTAATTTGATTACAAAGAAAATTCTTTTAATGATATTGAAGATAGTCATAATTCAATTTGAACCAAACTTGAGGGAAAAACATGTACATAATTTAAACCAAAAACAAAAGACAAAATGAAAGAAAAATAAAAGATAACAGATTACAAATTAGGGAGAAGGAAAAGGAAAAAAGTTGGTATTTTTCACATGTAAAGGTTATCATTACCTTTTCCAAGTCTAACTCTTCTAATAAAATGCTGGCATTTTTGTTTGCTTCAGCAGCCTGTCTATCTTTGGCTTGTACTATTGATTCCATACAAAGATGACACTTCTTCAGCATCTCCTAAAATAAAAAATTAAGATGTTTGCAGCCTCAAAACACAACTCACATTTAGAGAGACTCCTGAAAACACAAAGATATTTAATTAAGGTACCTGAATGAACATAAGCAATAAACATCAGTGGTAGGGCAAAAAAGAGTAAAAACAAAACCATAATCTAAATGGTATATGTTTTTTAAGTTACACAAGCAAAGAGCCTCTACTGTCCTTCAAAATAACATCCATGTGACTGGTATTTTGGAAACTAAAATTACTCATTCCTAAAATTTCAATGTAAGAAATCATATAGCAAACACAGCTTCAATAATTTATGCCAGCTGGTTAATGGGCTGAAGGGAAAGGTCAACGTCAACAAAGAAAATGGGTTTAAAAAATTAAAGAACTTAATTGACGGGAACTGTTTCAAATATTTAAGCTTTGTTGCTACAACTTCCTGTGCAAGAATCACACTTAAAGAAATCATAGACATGGGTACTTACATACTTTTCTCAGTGATTTCATTCTTGGGACATACTATTTAACAGGAAAGGGCTATTTCCCTATTCAACGAAAGCCTTATTTTTAATCTCCCCACCCCTCCAAAAAAATCCCACAAAAAACAAGAAACAGTGGTATCCAGGAATGTTAATTATCATAGAGAAATGTACAGGCGGGCGAGACCATGAATTAGCTATGTTAAATAAAACTCATGAAAAAAAAGTGATCACTATTATGTAATGACTGCTGAGAAAGACATTTTTAGATTTATTGACCTCTTTGCATTTTCAGACACATGTCTTAGGATTTTAGTCAAATGTTAGTATAAACCCCAAATTAAAACATCACCAGGGGAACATCTCAATTAGATCTCTAATAGGATTTATTTCACTTTCTCTACTTTTTCGGCAAAAATCCTAGCCAATTCATTCTTAAGCTGATAATTACTCCAACTTTTATATTATATCGAAAACATAAAGTTTCCTTGCCCATGACTATAAAAAGTACTATGCTCAGTTTTAGTTAGGTCTTAGAGAATGTTTTATTGCTTCATTAGGTAACTGAATAATCTGAAGCACCTTTTAAATACAATACTGCATTCCCAAATACTAGATAAATGAAAACTATTACATACCACACATTATTGCTTAGACTAAGACTTTTTTCTTAGTGTGAGATACACACACACAAACACACACACACACACACACACTTACAAAAAAACAAAATGAGATCCCTATCTCATATACTGGGATGAACTTAATCAATCTTATTACCTTGTCAGTGATGGTTGCTATGTATCTCATACATTCAGAATCTGATGGAAACTGATTGACTTCTTTGACTAAGTAGCGCACCACCTTCACATGACCCTAAAAAACAGATACCAATATCAGATTGAAAACAGACTCTTAACAGGATTCAGTAAATCTATAGTCTTGTCTTAATTAAGAGTACTTTGACATCAGTGCCACAAAATAAAGTCTTAGATATCATTTGCACTGTAAATGAAAAAGAGACAAACTTTGGTTCTGATAAGTTAAATCTACACTGTTCATTCTCATCCCACCCCTCCAAAAGAGTACAGAATAACCTGATCTAAAATTCTAAACAACACTGAATGAAAAGCCAACAAGCCAAAAATTAGTATGAAGAAATGGGGATATGTCTGAAAGAAAAAAAAAAAAATTCATTTGTTTCTAGCTAATTCACAAGTGAGCATCCTATTTCAATTCTAAGCCCTGAAAGAATAGAAATAACAATTTTGTTCTTTCAGATAAAAACTAAAAGCATAACACTATACTAGTAGTACAAAAGAAATAAGATACACTTTCCTAAAGCTTGAGCTACGATTATATTATTCACTTAACCCAGTTCACTAAGTAAAGCTCAAAACTTTTAGACCAGGACTCAAGAGACTCTTTCTCCAATCTATACTATTGCTCTCTGAACACAATTCCTAGGAATTAGCTAGTTTTGATAAACAGACTGTTTATATTTAGTATATTTCCCTATCTCTTCCTTTTCATCTACATCTTTTTAAAAAATTTTTTTTTTCAACGTTTATTTATTTTTGGGACAGAGAGAGACAGAACATGAACGGGGGAGGGGCAGAGAGAGAGGGAGACACAGAATCGGAAACAGGCTCCAGGCTCCGAGCCATCAGCCCAGAGCCTGACGCGGGGCTCGAACTCACGGACCGCAAGATCGTGACCTGGCTGAAGTCGGACGCTTAACCGACTGCGCCACCCAGGCGCCCCTCATCTACATCTTTTTAAACTATCTCTATTCCTATCTTTTAATGAATAGTTCAATGCCATTTACATCATTTCTTGATAACTTGCCAACACTTCTATGGTATTTAAATTATATGGGACACCTCACAGTTACCTGACTTTGTATGTGGATCTTACTTCCTCTTATTAAATCATGTATTTCTTTAAAAACAAAAAAAAAAGTGCAACTGCTGTACTCTGTACAATGTAATAGGCCAACCATTACAGTAACACATGGTAGATACTAAAAAATAAATAAATAATGGGATGAATACAAAAGAATATAAAAGATAAACACTGTTCTTAAGGAATTAAGTCTATTTGGAAAGAGAAGACATATGCGTGATACAGTAGTAACAAGATAATTTTTGTAAAAATGAATGATAAAAATAACAGATTGTAGAACTTCTACAATGTTTAGAGGATTAAATGTCCTGCTGTGAGCTCAAATAGGATTGGAAGTGTTTTTGTAGAATGGGAGATTTAAACGATACACAAAGAATGAATAAGTCTGGAAAAATAAAGAATATGGGTATTTCTGAGATGAGAACAATGGTGACGTAAGAGACGGTAACAAACAAAAGACCAAGCAAGGAGAAGACTCCACATCAGAAATTCAAAATAGGGGATGAGCTCTAAGGGCACCAGATTATGTTGGCTTTGACTAACAAACTAAGATTGGGTTTCAAAGGATGACAGAGACTGAAGGGAGGAAAAAGTTCTGGAAGAGGATACTAACATAGTGGAGTGGTTAGGAAGATGAATGATATGTTACCTTGCTTGGAGAAGAGGTAGTGAGAAAGAGGAAGAGAAAGAGAAAAAAAGAGGAAATAACAAGAGATTCAGTGTCTAGGTAGTCTAGAATACCTAGGGACAAGGTGGTACAAAGCACAGACAGAGAGAATAAGAAAAAAAAGAAGAAATATGATTTCTTGCAATTTATATATTAAAATCTTCAATACAACAAAATAATTTGGAACCTACCAAGGGATTTTACCTACCTGTCTCAAAATGACAAAACTTGAATTTTAAACACTGAACAGTAATCCAGTTTTCCTGGTAACAAATTAAAGCTGAATTTAAGAGACCAACCAAACTATTAAATCACTCTGTGCTATGCATTATAGGAAGAGAAACAAAGTTTCTCTTTTCACAAAATTTATTTCTACTTCTGAATGTAGTTCATTTGATTTTCAGGCATTTCAAAATATTGGTGGCTGGGTTTTCATTATATAATTCTCTTGTTCCTAGTAATTAAAGCAAATGATTAAAAATAAAACCAATTTAAGTTAATTTTTTCCCTGCTGTGCTAATACAAGAAAACATTCATCCATAAGTAATTAGTTACTTTTAATTGGATTTACATTTTGTGTGAAAGATTAAGATTGCAACTAGATTTTGGAAATACTACTTAGAACTACTTTTTAAAAGTTTACTTAGCTTAACTTATCAATATGGGTAATATTAATGGTTTTTCTGGGATACCTGTGTCTACCTTTCAGTGTTGCCATGAGTGATTATTTGCTTATTATTTTACTGCTTTCATCACTACCGCTAAATCCTAAAATGAGAGTCTTTAGTAATCACTAAACTGTACATATCCAGAAAAGTTGAAAAACATCCAAGTGAATGAGGATGAAAGACTTCTACCTTCCTAAATGCTGCCATCAGAGGAGTTATCTTGCGGTTGTCTGCTGCATCCACATCTGCACCTGCTTGTACTAGTAACTGAACCACATCAAGGTGTCCGCCATTTGCTGCTAGCCACAATGGAGTGTTCCCCTTCTTATTACGTACATCAATGTGAGCTCCCCTAAACGAATGACACAGGTATTGTTTAAAATAAATGGAATGACACAGATAACGATAAAAATCAACTATTAACATATGAAAAATATTCTGTAAAAGTGAAATATTAGACATAATATTCAAGGACTTAAATACATTTTTCTCTCAAAATTACAAGGAATTTCTAACCATCAAATTTAAAAGTCTTCAAATTAAAAAACAACTGTATGCTAATAATTGCTTTTCTTATTTTAATGACTGCATAATTCTGGGTTTCAATCCTGAGAAAATGTGAAGTTTTATTTAGTGAAAAATATAAGTACATCCTGTTAATAGCATAATCAATACATTAAACAAACAGTATGCAAGAGACATAAACAGTATCTTACAAGGCACTTGTATCTATTTCAGATTACTTGTATTTATGTATTTTTTATTATGTGGCTTCAGAAAAGAATGAATCTAAAAATAACATGCAGATTTAGCACTCAGTGGGCATCATGGTAAGACTCATGGTGAATAACAGGTGATAGCAGCCACTACTAAATACTACTGCTTAGGACACCATGCAAATGTCTTTAAGACTGTTAAAGCAAGAAATCCAATTCAGCTGGCAAGCATCTTTGGAAGACTGGCAGGAACTTCTAAGTGACTGAAAGCAGGGATTCCCCTGGATCCTGTCTGATACCTTGAACAATTCTGTAACTGTCACTTAAAAGCCCTAATTGCTATTAAAAACAAAAACAAAAACAAAATATAAACAAATTAAAAAACAACAACAACAAAATCAACAACAAAATCTTAGATTGCTGCTAGATTTTTAAGATTTCCAGCGATAACTCTCTGGAAAACTCAAACTGTGTCGGAGATGTGAATATGCAGGCCAACAGCTGGATGTTCAAATAGCGTATTATAGTACTTTAAAAGTGTATACACACCCAAGAAAGGAAGAAGAGAAGTATTTCTAGGTTGCACTGAAATAAATCAGACAACGTAGCATAGCTCTAGATAGGTGGGAAATAACAGAAGTAGGTGTAAAACATAAAACAAAACATGCAATTGTAGTTTACAGAAGTAACCACATTTGATATTTTAATAGTACAATTTGCCCAGAGAGAATAGTAATCACTAGTAACACCATAGTCACATATGAAGGGCATGATAACATCATACCTGCCAATGAGAAGCTCACAGAATTTATAATGCCCTTTATCTGCTGCTATGGTTAAAGCTGTATCTCTCGAAGAGGGCACTGGAGGGGCATTAACATCAGCACCTTTATCCAAAAGAACTCGGCCCACCTCTGCATATCCACCAGAGGCAGCTTCCATGAGTGGTGTGAGGCCAGTCTAGGTTTAGCGAAAATAAAAGCAACACATGAGAGACTGAAAAGAGCGAAAATGTTTAAAGAACCACCTGGGGAGCAACTTGATATAGTTGCTACAAAGAGTCACAACTAAATTTCAGCACTGACACTACAGCCTGAGTTACAGTGTGATCCAGAAAGATGATTCTACTTAATGTCAATTTATTGTGAAAAAAACTTGTGAAAAAAACTTGCCAAGATGCAAGCACTTGGCATATAACTGGCACTAATAAATGTTTCCTGTCTTCTCTTTCACAAAGTACGTATTTTCTAGCTGATAACCCTAGTATGTCATTTTTACCTATAAAAATTTAGTGTTAAAGTATTTTCAAGAGTTAATGCTTGACTGAGTACACAGAATGATTTCTGATTAAATACATATGTAAGATATATGTTACTAGAAAAATACTAAAATTATAATTAGCGTAATGCTACTGTACACCTTAAATATCGAAGCAATAAATAAATCCATGTACAAATCTCAGATTTTTCTTACCTTAGCTCTGTGTTCCACATTTGCTTTTCTATCAAGCAGAAGACTAACCACTTCAGTTCTTCCTTGGAAGCAGGCTAAGGTAAGGGCAGTGTTCCGATTGGTTTCTATTTGAGCATTTATGTCAGAGCCCATGTCTAACAGGAGCTTAACAGCAGCTGTATGCCCATTCATAGCTGCTAACATCAGAGGAGAAATGCCCAATTTGCTACCAGTTCTGGGGGTGGAGGTATGGGGAGAACAAAAGGAAAAGATATAAAATTTAAATGTCCCAGAAAAAATTGGATGAATTTTATAGAATTCTATTTCAGGATTTGATTCTTTAGTTTGCAGGACTATTTAAAATAATAATTTTTCTCAGCCCTAGTAAGTCTATGAGATACTACCAAGACTCCATTAGAAATCTTTTACCACCTAGACCTAGACTACTTTCTGTAGCTCATCCAACATAATGACTTGGGCTGAAAAGTAACTATTAAATTATTAAGTGATTATTAAGATGGGCTTTCCATCCTAAAGCATAAAAACTGTGTTTACTTTTAGTACCATAAGAAATAGAGTAAGTGATGGTTTCTCAAGTTCTATATCAATAGAATAGTTTTAAATACTTAAATAAAATTAATCTTAAAAATCTCTAACAATTTGAATTCTAAACTCGTAATGAAGGCATTTTCTAAATATGGCATAAGAAATACAAGTGTTCTACAAATAGCTTTGTCATAACACTCTTAAGGGGCTTATAGAGAGAGAATAAAACTTGCCTAGAATTAATCTCAGCTCCTGCATTTAGTAATATTTTGATAATGTTCACATAGCCACCAGAAGCAGCCAGGCTTAGAGGTGTGTAATCAGAAACATTCCTGTGCTCTTTATTTGCCCCTCGAGCTAACAACAGCTCCACCACCTGAAAAGAAAAGAGGAAAAGTTGTATTTTCTTCTTATGGTGAAACAATTTGCAAAGTGTGTATTTCTGATTTCTTTATTTTTCTGGTATATCGTATAAGAAAACAGAGGAAAGTCCTTTTTTTAATCCTTTGCACAAAATCAGCTTCAAATGATAGCAAGAGCTCTTACAAGCCAACAGAAAGCAGGCTTTTCAATTAAAATCCATTTTGGGAAAAAAAAATCCATTTTGGAATTTGTTAAAATGGCACAGTGTGTTCATGAAAGACCAGGGTCTCAGATCTGCTGGATCTCAGTGTGTTGTTGTGCAATGCTATCTTAGCAATTAGCATTTCTCTGTTATTTCATCACATAGTGGTAAAACGGAATAAGATTTTTTCATTTATAATGATTTAAAAATATTTTTTTAAACTTATAATCAATAACAATGTTTAAAAACTTGGAATAAAAGTAATATTTATTTTTTCCCAATATTTTATGAAAAATTTTAAACATATGGAAAAGCTTAAGAAATTTACATATACTTGCTACCTAGATTTTACCATTAATATTCTACTACACTTACTTTATTACATCTTTCATCTGTCCATTTTCTGATGCATCTCATTTCAAAGTAAAATGGACACCTGCAATTTCCCTTAAGTGCATTAGCATGTGTTATTATCTAGAATATTACTTGCTTTAAATTTTTGGGGGGTAAAATATATAACTTACAACCAATGCACAAAACTTGGGTGTATATTCACTGAGTACTGACAAATGCATAAAACTAATGTAATTTATTTTTTTTTAAATTTTAATACTTTGTTTTTAATGGTTATTTTTGAGAGAGAAGGCGTGAGCTGGGGAGAGGCAAAGAGTGGAGGGGGACAGAAGATCCAAAGAGGACTCTGCACGGACAGGAGCAAGCCCAATGCAGGGCTCGAACTCACAAAACCTGAGTTCATGACCTGAGACAAAGTCAGACGCTCAACAGACTGAGCTACCCAGGGGCCCCTAATAATATTTTTTTTTTTTTTTTTTTTTTTTTTTTAATGGACAAAGAGAAAGGGCATGAGTAGGGGAGGGACAGAGAGAGGGAGAGAGAGAATCTTGAGCCCTACATGGGCTTAATCTCACAACCATGAGATCATGACCTGAGGCAAAATCAAGAGTTAGACACTTGACTGAGCCACCTAGGCACCCCAAAACTAATGTAATTTAAATCCTGTTATTTATTCATGCCCCTTTCCCAGTCAATCTCACCTATAGACTAATTTCATCTATCTTAAATCCTCATATAGATGAAATCAGTGTTTGAAAGTCATATGCGGGTATTGCATACCATTCCATTATATGAATATACTATAAGTGATCTATTCTCCTACTGATGAACAGCTTTGCTGTCTCTAGTTTTTGGTAAATTTGAATAAAGTTGTTATGAACATTCTTCCAGAAATACATTTTCATTGCTCATGGGTTCCACCTAGTAGAATTTCTGGGTGTATGTTCAGTTTTATAAGAAATTGCCAGACCTTTTCCTAAAGTGGTTATACCATTTATACTCCCACCAATAATAAGTGAGTCCTGGTTGCTCCACATCCTTGGCAAAATTGGTATTGCCAGTCTTTATAATTTTAGCCATTCTAGTTGGGTGTGTGGTGGTAACCCACTGGGGTTTTAATTTACATTCCCTGATAGCTGAAAAACACTTACCATTTATTTAAGTACTTATTGGCGTCTTTTGTCCATTATGCCATTTAATGCACAAAACAACTCTTTGACACAAGTGCTAGTATTTTCACCTTCATTTTACAAATGAGGCAGAGAAAAGTTAAGGACTGTCCAAGATCATAGCTCTTACCTTGCACTTAGTATTGTTTTTTAATTTTTTTTTAACGTTTATTCATTTTTGAGAGACAGAGACAGAGCATGAGCGAGGAAGGGGCAGAGAGAGGGAGACACAGACAGAATCTGAAACAGCTTCCAGGCTCTGAGCTGTCAGCACAGAGCCCGACACAGGGCTCGAACTCACAAACTGCGAGATCCTGACCTGAGCTGAAGTCAGACGCTCTAACGACTGAGCCACCCAGGAGCCCTACCTTGCACTTAGTATTAGTAAAATATCCTACAATACTAACTAGGAAATAACAAATAAATGTTAATGAACAGTGCTTTATCTTAACATACAAGCTAAAACTTTACTCATAGGAATAAAGCTATGACTAAGTTTAGATTACGACTTTCTGTCCATCACTTTTTTGCTTTTAGAGCCAGAAACAGTAGGTGGCTTATGTGACAAGGTTATAAACACAAGACCAAAAAATGGTATTAGGCTAAATTTTACAGAGTCCCTTAAGCAAGAAAGTAGAAAACCCTAATCAAATTTCTAAAGTTATTAATTCCATTACACAAAGATAACTGAGCTTAGTTATCTCTCAAAGGGAATGGTCTATTCCCAGAAAGAAATAAATACTCAAAGATTATAGTATGCTATAGGCTTTAATACTGCTTTGAAAGGAAGGAAATCAACGGATTCTTTTTTGATTCAACACTGAAAAAATTGTTATTTTATGAAGCAAGTATTATTTCAAGCTATACAATGATTGAAAATTTCAGTTATATCAAAAATTTTACCTTCATCATATTCCAAAACAGAACCATTTTCATTCCCAACTAAGTTTTTCAATTTAATGTTGTTATTAATTGCAAAATTTTCTGCCATACCATTTCAACTTGAGATTAATAGGAATCTCTACATTTTCTGACGCGGTGGAGATAATTTATCAAATTAAGTAGCTTATTTTTTCACTATTTACTTCCTATTATTTGGGTTAAAATCCTTTTAATATACCAATCACCTCTACTATGGAATGCAGGAAGGGAAACAATACAAATGTATTCACATTATCAACCAGAAGGAACAGCACAGTAGAGACACATTCTTTGTTGTCTCTTACGCAAAACATCTCTAGAAAGTGTGTCTAACTATCCACACACCTATAATCTATTCCAAATATAAAGGAGCAAAAATTATAAATTTAAAAATTATAAATTGGCCAAAGCAACAATTGTATAAAAAAAAAAAAAAGACTATTATCACTAGGCTCCAATTCTTTTTAATCCACAAGATAAAGGATCACCAATTCCTATCTTTCTATATACATGTACCATTTTATTAGATTTCCCATTCTTTCTGCACAAGAATTATTCTACCTCCTAAAAATCTTTATCTTCTGGTTTACTAAAAACTCCAGTGGGTTTAGCTGACTAGAGTTCAATATAACCTGATGTGTTATGACAGGCAAAGGGTGGGAGGCAGTTTGGTTTTGCACAAATAGGGAAGTAATAACCTACCACCTCCCTGGCCAGAGTAATTTTAGATAGAGTATTTCAGGAGGTATACTGACATAATGGATAGAACAGCCAGTTGAAGGATTTGGAAAAGATATCCTCAAACCAATAATCAAAAGAATAGGGTACACTTCAAATAGAGAACAGGTAACTGGCAAATACAGCCTCAAATATCTGTAGATATAAGAGAGTATAAACCTCTTTCAATTAATCAAAGAACAGAATTAAGAATAGTGGGGAAACTTAGGGAAGGCATAATTCAGGTTTGATAATTAGGAGAACTTTATAATAGGATGGCAAAAAAAAAAAAAAAAAAAAAAAAAAGTAAAAGATTTCTAAACTGAGTAAGACACTGACCTGGTTAACCCAGGGTACTTCCTAAATCTGAGATTCAACAACTCCCTAATTGAAAAGTTGTCAGTCCACAGAGACAGCACAACTGGCTAATCAAAATCCTTACAACTGGATTTAAAAAACAGATTTAAAACATTAGGTTGCCCAGCTGTTCATTAAATGCCAGAAAACACACATGGGTGTAAAACTATAACTTCTTGTGCCTATACCTGATCACACCAGCTGTTCTACTTTCCTTTAAAAAAAATGAAAAGATCATACAATCTTATCCGAGAACCTTTCTTCCAGATTTGAGGAGTGGGGGAAGATGAAAAGAACAACTAAAAACTGAATACTCTTAATTCCCTACTAATCTTATACATAGAGAGCAAAAGAAGCTGAGCTTAAGTACCTTTCATGCTAGGTACTCTAGGATAGGAAAAGATGAATGATTATAGGCCCTGCTTATGAGAAGTTTACAGATTTGATTGGGAATGCCTTAATCATTTCCTTAGCCTGAATGCAACACACAGGGATTCCTACGGCAGATACTACTTTCGGATGAACAGAATAACAAACATGATTTTTCTGACACGATACCTTATGCTAACACTGATACTTGAAATTATTATCTATTAGCAAAAGGACAGTTACTGTGATAAATCCAGATGCCAATCCTCTATTACCATCAAATCATAAAAGTTAAAACATATATTTGCTAAACAGATGGACAACTATTACAATGGAGAAAATGTTACCTCCTGCCTTCCCCCAGAACAAGCCAAAGATAGCGGTGTGTCCTTGGTTCTCTCTGACTGGGCTTCAATGTCTGCACCATTGTCCAGCAATATTTCCACAACACCAACATGACCAGCTGTAGCAGCCAAGATAAGTGGAGTAAAACCTAGAGGAAAAATAATGATCTTCTCACTACATGCTAAGCAAAAGAACAATAGTGTTTTCCACTAGAAGCAGTATTTCTTCTAGAAATACAAATATTCTTCTAGAAATACAAATATTCTTCTAGAAATACAAATATTCCAGAAATACAAATATTCTTCTAGAAATACAAATATTCTTCTAGAAATACAAATATTCTTCTAGAAATACAAATATTCCAGAAAAAAAAAATTAACAGAAGTAAGCCCTACCTTTCTTGTCTCGGTGCTCAATGCTAGCTCCTCTCTCTAGCAGTGTTTGTACCAGTTCCTCATGACCACCAGCACAGGCAAGTGTTAGTGCCGTATCATGATTACTTTCAGTCTATAAAAAAATTATTTTTTGATTAGCTTATTAGATAATTTTCAAATGACAGCATCAATTATATAATATATACTTATACCAAATACAGATACAGATGTACCATTCTACTGTATCAAACATTCGGGTATTAAGTCGTTCTTTTTCCATCAGCGGCTAACGTGTGATTTTGTAAAGGCTACAAAATAACATTTGAACTTTATGGGCAATTCTTAAAGCAGGCATGAAGGAAAAAAAAGTATGATTTTCCAACCATATGCTATTTACAACTACATGATTAAATTAAACACTGTTGGACTCACTTTTACTTCTAGCCATTAATGGAGTAGCGTAGACAACAGCACAGACAAGATTTGTTTTCCTATCTCAAAGAACCAAAAAAAAGGGGGGGGAGGGGGCAAACTATTTGAAATGATGGTGTTTAGAGAGGCAGTGCATGGATGGCAGTGATCTCGGAGGACAGAAATGATTAACTCAACTTATTGCCTAGAGAGTTTCAAGGCTTCAGGGCAGACTGGGTACCCAAACAGCCTGTCAATCTCCCTGAGTTGAAAAGGCAGAGTTTGGAGAGGTCAGGATGGCTGGAATTCATGGGGCAGATTACTAGAGAGGAAAGTACTACAAGAGTACTCTAGATTAGCAGCACTAAGTGATGCTTTGCCTAGGAAACAATAAATGACAGTTAAGTTAAATGAATGACAACAGCTATATGGGATTACAGATTCAAAGACTATTTCTAATAAAACAAACGACTACATATATGAAATATATATTTATTATGTTTACATATTTATATAACATTTATTATATTTATGTAATAAATACAAAAAGAAACGGCATTTTCTCCCAGAAGGTCAATAACTCTAAAAACCAAACTCTGTCATAAAAAAAAGAATAACAAGAGACAAAAGGCAAAATCGATAGAGTCAAGAAATAAGAAAAAGCCTACTAGTCAGTGATGAAGAGGGAGACCGCAAAAGCTGCTCTGCAGAAGAGGCTGGCAGAGAGCAGAGCTACTGACTGCAGAGATCAGGGATGGCCACAAGGGAGAGATGCACCAACTACAACAATGAAGAAGGACATGAATACTTAAATGAGTGACCGCTCTGACTGTGTAATAGTATTTGATCTTCATTTCAGGTTTATAAGGAAGGAATTATTATGTTTGATTTCAGAAAAAAAGAGACAAAGCCTCAGAGAAATAACCTTCCAATGGTCACACAAGCTAATAACTGATAAGGATCGGCTTAAAAAACCAAGGAGATCCTGGATATCAAAATCCTCCTTTCCCCATCATAAAGCAGTCCTATGGCACAGCCAATGGAGGTCAATATAATGTTAAGTCTCTCTGCCTTATATGCTCTCTCTGTTAGTGTACAGACCATTAGAAGAGTCAACTTTATGATGAAGAGTCCACTTTATGATGAAGTTTATTAGGTTTCTAAGAGTTTCTGGGGGTTAAAAGAGTAATTTAGGAAAGTGGTGCCAATTTTAAATAGAAACTGAACAAACAAAATTTGAAAAAGATCAGCATGGGAAATTTTAGTGGATTAGTAAAATATTGGTTTTTTCCCACATTATAAAACATCAGCTCAACTGACATTTATTAAGCACCTTTTATGTTCAAAGTACTCTGTTAGGTACTTCAGGGTTGACAAAGATAAATAAATACAGTCCCTGCTCACCAGGAGCTTAGTGATTACAGCAAAGGGAAAATTTAAGTTCAAACTATGAAAGAAATATAAACAAGGTATTATGAGAGTTGAAGGAAAAATATTTAAAGCTAAGAAAAGAGGGCTTGTCAAATTCCTTGGGGAACTTAAGAGTGGGCAACTTCATTAATATCTTACGATAATCTTCTAAAGACAATAATGAAAGAATTTAAAGATTCTGAAGTGAGGTTTCCACCTTCCTAATACACACCTATACAATCCCCAAACGGTAAGAAACACTATCCTGATTTGTAATACCTCAAGAAACAAATTAACTGAAGCAAAAGTCTGGGTTAAAATTAACAATGATTGATAAAGCACAGAAAAAAAAATAGGTGTTTTCAAGATTACTAATCAAGAAAATAATGATAACAATATAGGTTGATGACTTTCTGAAAGGCAATGTATCACTAAAGTCATGTTATATTACACTGGCTAAGAAGTCACACACATTGTCATGTATCTATATCTAAGAGAAACCTGAAAGGGAGAGAGATGCCCAAAGCTTTGTTAAAAGCTCATTCAGGTCTACATTCTAAAGAAAATTTCCATGTAGCCTATGATACCATAAAATATACAATTTTGTATGTAACAGATGTTGTTATGATGACTCTATTCTTATAAAAATGCTAAAATTATATTCAATGTAAAAATATTATGTAAATTATCAACATGACTATTCAATTATGTAGGAATGAAAAATAAGAAGGAATCATAAGACAGATGCAATACTAACGGAAAAAGCAACTTTTAATGAGCTGGGATATAGGTGAAAAATATACCTGAACGGTCTGTAAAAATAAACAAAAAATAAAAAAGGAAATATATCTATTAATTATACCTACATAATTAAATTACTTTGAAAATTATTAGGACTTCAAGGGCTAAGCTTTTTTTAGACTTCCATAACCTTCATAATCCCAAATCTCTCATTCTCTAAACATGTCAGAGGTAGCACATAAAATACAAAAAAGATTAAAAAAAAAAAAAAAGCATTTAGGAAGAATGAGAATTATCAGGGAATAATGACAATAATCAGTTAAGTAATAAATAACTTGCTTAAAACTTCACATAAACAAGTAGAATGCATGCATTTGAAAGAAGAATGCTTTAATGGCAGCATACTGCATACCACTATTAACTCATTTTTCCTGGTCTCTTTAATATTTCTCATTAAATCATTGTGATGAAACTGTTCTCCATACTGCAAAACCAACAAGGGAAAAATATCCAAAAGATATTTATATTTATCCATTAAAGGCAAAACATAATTTTATATACTTTATAATTTCAGTCCTGACGTTTAAGTTAAATTTAAAGTCTACCCTCTTTAAAAGATAATCATGGATTTATGTTATTTCACACAATAAATACAGAAAATATTTAATTTACCAGTATTCAACTCTAACCTTCAACCAGATGTACTGTTTCATATAAAACCTATAGTTCTTAAAAGTTTCTACATGATTACTAATTTCTGTATCTAACAGTACCCAGATACAAATTTTGTTATGCCATTCCAGCAAAATAAAGATTAGAGCTACGTTATGAAAAAAGATACAGTAAAAGTCTCAAATAATTCCTTCAAACTATCATTTATTGATGTTTCCTAAAGTAAATGTTGATAACAGCACAGTATATGCTATTAAAATATATTAAATGTTATTATATATATTTTATATATAAATTATATCTATAAATTATATATATAGGTAGATAGATATAACTTAATATAAATATATTAAAAATATTCAGGAAAGGGGCACATGGCTGGCTTAGTCACTAGAGCATGCAACTCATGATCTTGGCGTCGTTAGTTCAAGCTTCACGCTGGGCACAGAACTTACTTAAAACAAGACAAAACAAAAAAAACAAAACCAAAACCGAACAAAACGAATAAAAGCAAATATATCCTGACAAACTTGATTCAGTAAAATCATTATGTGAGAGGTAGAGAGCCTGTGGCACATACTTACACACCAAAGGTAATTTTTAGTTATAGAATGTAAGATTTGGGGAACCTTATAAAGAGTGAAAACTCTCATCTTCAGCAGTCTTCAAGTTCCAGAAATTAAACATGATTCCTGTTCATCCTTGTTAAAAATATTAGTTTCTGCATATAATGATCAATTAAATGAGTTTAAAGTATGATCATGTGAAGACTCATTAGCATATTTTAAAAGACACATATACGCTGAAGGTTTAAAAAAATTAACATTTGTTTTGTTTTTCTTTAAATTAAGAATTGACGTAAATATGCCCTATGGCCAAGGAAACATGCTGAAAAGATGCAAAGATGAAAGAAAGAAAAGATGCCATCTAGGTGGTGGACCTATTTTCTGTAATCTAATTTACCAGGTTAATATAATTAAAATCAGTGTTCATACTTAAGATAAAAAGTTGAAAAGGAGGTAGCATAGTGCAGTGGTTAAGAGCATAGATTCTAGACCTAGATTGATGGGGTGGTTTGAAAGACAGCTCCACCATAAATTAGCTGTTGGGTGAATAGTTAGTATCTCTAAGCAGGAACTTTGTAAACTCTATGACAAGCAGTGTAATTCATGATAGAGTATCCCAACTGAAAAACTTCAATATAGAGACCACATATTTAAGAAGGACACAGTCAATCTTTTTACATAAGCATGTCAACTACAATTAACATATTAGATTTTTTAATTTAAAAAAATTAGAAATATTTCTATGTAACTTCTTAGAAATTAACTTATAACACAGCAATAGCTGGTTGAGTAGTATAGTCAGGTAAAATTTCACCACCACTATAACAATTTCAAACTCAATAAAATCATGATCATATGAGGAATTTTTTCTGTGGCTATTTTATTCAAAAGAATTTTTTAAAAAATCCTTTTATATTTGGTGAGGTTTTTAGTTTTCCTTATGGATCAATTCTTAATTCCATATAAAAACTAGAAATTAGATCTCTGGTTAAAACATAACAGCTATAGGTTACAACATAACAGCCTCAGAGTGAAAAAAGCCTGGAGGAAAATAATGCAAATTCAATACCAAGTTCAACCCAGTTCTATATTGCTACATATTATTAAATATAAACCATGTGGTTCATAAATGAATATTTCATAGTTTTTTTAATTTGAAAAAATTTAAAAAACATACTATAGAGTACGGTAGTTAAGGAGGGTGTCTTTGAAGTCAAACCCACCTGAGTATGACTCTCAACCCCATCACTTAGCTAAATGAACTGATCCTCAGCGATATGTTTAATCTCTCTCTTAGCCTTGGTTTCTTCATCAGGAAAATGGTTATTTAAAAGTAGTTACTTCATATATGTGGTCTGAAACTCAGACAATTCCTTAAAATAGCCCTGACAACTTTAAGTGCTTAAAAAAAAAAGTACATATAACTTAACATTTGGAAAGCAAGTAAGAATAGAAATGTAATTCCTTTTTCACAGTATTACCAAGAAACATTTTAATGAAAAGGAAGCATTATTTTCTTAAACATTCTAAAAAATTTTATTTATTTATTTTGAGAGAGAGACAGAGTGAGTGAGCAGGAATCCTAAGCAGGCTCTGCACTGTCAGCCTGGAGCCCGAGTGGGGCTCGAACTCATGAACCATGAGATCATGACCTGAGCTGAAATGAAGAGTCAGATGCTCAACCAACTGAGCCACCCTGAAGCCCCAGAAGCTTTATTTTCAATAGGTTGAGAGTACAGAGCCTTAATGGTAACACACACACACACACACACACACACACACACACACACACACTTTAGGCAATTCAGGGTTACAAAGAACTGATCATTTACAAAATAAAAAGTTTTATTATGTATACTGCCACCTTCACCCATGTCATGCCTTCCCCACCCCAGATATATATTTTTTTAATTAAAAAAAATTTTTTTTTAATTTTTATTTTAAGTAGGCTCCATGTCCAAGTGGGGCTTGAACTCACGATCCTGAGAGTAAGAGTCATGTGCTCTACCAGCTGAGCTAGCCAGGGACTCCCCAACCCCAGGTAAAAATCAAAATACAAAACTAAATAAACCAAACAGTTCTCAGTACTGAATAAGGCCATATACCCTTTACCTTATTCAGCAGTCTTCTAAGCTAGGCCTTATCTTAAGCTTTTTTCCAGGACAAAACACAAGCTATCCTCCCCTCTCCAACTTCACTGTGACCTGAGATTACATGGTAAACTAATTTTCTAATTGGGTTTTTTGCTTTGTTTTGTTTTGACTTAGTCCTAAGACACAGACAGTCACTACATGTTTTAGTTGGCGAGATCAGAACTTTCAAAGACAATATAAATGCAATTAAGTATATACGATACATAAATGGAAGAATCTTTTATGTGTAACCCATTATAAATTAGAAGCATAACTTCTAATTTAAGATTAGAAGAAAATACATACTAATTATAAATAAGTTATTTCTTTTAACAACCTCTTCTAGACTACAGTTAAAAAAAAGTTACTGATGACCTTGAAAACCAGACCATCACATAATTATCAGTAATAATCTGTATTTGGTATTTTATTTTTTAAAATGTGGATTCACATTCCTAACTGTGGCTCAGATCTCTGGCTGGAGACAAAACAGTCTAAGATGACTTAAGTCTAAGATGATTAATGTTTTTACTGATGATATAATTTTAGTTAAAAACCATCCATCCTGAATTTAGAGCTTACCTGTGCATCAATATCAATGGCAGGGTAGATAGGAAGCATGGCTGAAGGAGAGATGATAGGACTTGGAGTTGGAGTCTGAGGTTGGGAAATGGAAGCAGCGATACTGTGTGTAGGAGTGTTTGACATTGCAGATGCTCTTCCACTGACTGCTGTTGAACAAAATAACTGCACTTAATAAGGATGAAACATTGTTAGGTAACAGTAAGAAATAATTATTAGAAAATATTTAAAGACTTCTTAAAACAAAAGGTCTATAGGTAAACTGTCACAGCACTAATAACTCACTTTTCTGGTTATTTCTGACTTGGGATAACAATCTAAAAATAAAAAGTATATTGAGAATAACCCATTTTCTAAATGATAATCCATGTGAAAACCAAATTCCTCTCTTACAGTATGTATTCATAAAACCTCAATTCAAAATAACCCTGAAAACAAAAATATGCTTATGAATTCAAATTGAATATAAATGCAAATGGATAGTTGTTCATTATAGCTTTTTTTTTTTTTTTCATTATAGCTTCTTAATCAGAAAACGAATAAAAGGTAAAACAGTCAAGTTCAGACGGAGGAAAGTGTGAGTTTTAACCTGCCAATGTCACACCTTATATTCCAATGAAAGTAATATCACTGGGGAGAACCTCACTATAGAATCATTTAAAACACTTCCTACTCTTTTACTAACTGCAGACTGGGGGATGGTAACTTTCTGAATGGTAGGACCGTATAGTAAAATATAAAAATTTGATCCTCACACAGAAATATAGTTTCCCACATGTAGAATTATTCTGAGGGGGTTAAAATGCCCACCAATCAAACCAGCAATCACACTGACGAGGACAAAATTAAAAGATTAAGGTAGAAATAAATGTATGCACAATCATCCTTCAAAGATAGATTATTGTTAGTTCTAAGTATAATTTTTCCATGATATTATTTTCACCAAAATATGCAAATTAATAAGGGGCTAATTAGGTCAGTACTTGAGGTGGGAGGACTCCAGAAGTGGTGGCAACTGAGGGTATTTATATTCTGTCATGGATTCACTTCTGGAGCTGATATGTGAACACCAACCCTTTTTCCCCCATATTAAAAATGCTATAGCACTGAAGTGTGGGCATAAATCTCTGAATGGTCAACAGTAGCGTGTTACCCACATACTTATCAACTACATCAGACAGAAAACAATCATGATTCACAACTGGATCTGAAACCAGGCAAAAGAGGTTATGATCCTGCCAAGAATAAAACTGAAATTGACCTTATTATAACAATTATAAACATGATTGTCAATTAAGAAATCTATTTTACATGAAATCCTTAGTTCAGGCACAAACATACACTATACATTATAGCAACACACATTCTATGATTATACATTTTTAAGTCCACTTAAAAGCTAAAGAAAAAACAAAGAAAGGAAACAAAACAAAACAAAACAAAACACTGTTTGAATCCTTAGGGATCCAGATAAATAGAAAAGGGCATGTACTAATATATTAAATTGATTATCTAATGACCTTGATATTGTTATTCCATATTGATAGTTTTATGTTAAAAAATCAAGTTAATTTAAATGTACACATTCTAGATATAAAATCTCAAAACCATATAAAATCTATGGCTCTTAAAACAGATTCCATAATCTCCTCTGATTTGACTGATTTTCACAAATAAAAATGCTAAATACAAAAATCAGCTTAAACAGAATGAACACCAATCTGTCCAAAGAACTGATTTTTATTTCACAATAGTAAAAAAAATCTAAGCTTTACTATTAAATGACTATATTGTTATTTACATTTTAACTGGAATAAGTTCTTTTAAAGAACACACTAAAATTAGTTTTCTTATTTTGGGTCAAATTGCTTGTTCTTGCCACCTCATCTAAAAGGAGAGGAAACACCAATTCCCTCATTTCATTTCATTTCATTTCATTTCATTTCATTTCATTTCGGGTAGTTATGAAATTGGTTTATTAGAACTAAATACCTGCCTGTCACTCAATCATTCCCTACAGTTAAAAGTAACAACTTATAAATACGCAGGTACCTGAAGGAACTCTGGTATAGATCTTTACATGTGGTACTTCATTTTAGGGTCTGATTTTAGAGAAGGAGCACCAGATGCTCTAGAAAAGTTTAAACATTAGGTAAGGAAAGAAAGAACTTGAGAGCACAGCAAAGGCAAGGTGTTAAGACTGGCTAAATAAGGAACTGATTTTGCTCTGACAAGGATGGAGAACAGGCAAGACAGAAGATTTGGGTCAGCCAAGTACTACAGAAAATGATACTGAATCTTACAAGAGGAGTCTAATAAATTGGAATAAAGAACAAGTTTATTTAGGTTCTTTAAAGAAAAAGAAGAGGTTATGCTTAAGTGGGGAAGGAATACGGCACCTAATGAGGTTACAAAATATTAAGAAACCCAAAGAAAGAAATGGAAATGATCATTAGTCAACTGAAAGAACAAATACTACCAAAGAAGTTGTCTAAAGAAAAAGTCGTAGAAGTGAGTGCATTAGTATATGTGTATGTTTATGCATTTGCACATGCATGATGACAGGGATGGACTGCAGGTAAGTGGTTGGATGTTTTTAATCCTGCTCTTCCGTCTGGTCATCTCTCCTCTCTCCATATAAATGGGCATAATAAAGAGGAAGAGTATTTTTATAATGGGAAGTATTTATCCTATTTCCTAAAAACTTGTGCGCTTTTGAAATTTTTTTTATATGAAAACACCTGGAACACAAAGGCAGAATTTAATTGTTTTTGTTTGGTAAACCAATTAACAGAAAAACTACTTTACAAACCTCTGATAATTCTGATCAGCATAAAAACTGTACAACTGGCAAATCAAGGTTGATAACTATGCCCAAGAACATCATGTAAATTCTGATAGCATATCAAAAAAAAATTTTTTTTTAAGTATTCCCTGGTAGGAATGTCCATTCTTCACTTAAATAACTTGATACATTTTTTGGTAGTTCAACCAACATAATAGAAAGAAGACCATTATGACCTAGATTAATGGCCATGTAAGTAACACCAAATTTGGGACTTTTGGCTACTGTGCTCCAATCTTCATAAGATACCAATGTTTCTTTAATTGTATTCCCAATTATTATAACCAGCTAATGGTGATTAATAGTAATTTTCAAATCTATAGAAAAATTTTATGTACAATTTTCATAAGATACTAACATTTCTTTAATTGCAATCCCAATTATTATAAGCAGCTAATGGTGATTAATAGTAATTTTCAAATATATAGAAATATTTTATACTTATCACTCTAAGAATCTTCACAGTTCTTACTAATGATTATTAGACTACTGCACCCTCTAAGATTAGCAAAGAATTTCATTCCACATATTGTTGCTGGGGTGATACTAAAAGAGAACTAGGAAACTTTGGAGCAATTTGTAAGAACAAAATCTGTCTCATTAGCTGGTGTCTTAATTTCTGAATGTTAGCTAAATATCTCAACACTATACAATTTAATTTTCTTTTATGTTTTTGAAAGATGAAAGATAAATTATATATAACCTCATCATACTATATAATGCTGCCAAAACAGTTTCAAAATTAGAAAAACTTAATCATATAGAAGTATAGAACAAAGAATAAAAAAAGGGGGAAGAAAACAGATAAATACTATCAAATTTCACTACTTGCTGCCTTTTTCTCTTTTCCTTCCTTTTCAAATGTTCTTTTTTTATCTTTTTCTTAAATCAAGAAAATTATCCTTCACAGTATAGCATTCTTATGGCTTATAATCCTGTAGAATCTCATTCTACTACTTTGTTACAGAACTCACAAAAAGTAAGTACCAAAAACTAGAATCATTAAAACAACCTTCTAAAATATTTCTTCTTGCAATGAAACTAATTATAATGGAATATAATTTCTCTGGCTACACACTGAAAGATATATCATTTATGATACTGTCAGGGGACCACAACTTCCCATAATACAATTAGAAAGAGACTACACATTAACATTCACAGGGGATAAAATCACTGACATACAATCAAACCCTATTTGGTTTGGTACTTTATTATCGTTGTAAAAGTGTTTAATTTTTTTTTTTTTTAATATCCATCAGGTTTGAAGTCTGATCCATTAGGATATAAAGTATTTCTGTTCACAAATAAGCTTCCTGATGTGTCCTACTAGTTTTGCACTTCAACTTCTATCAATTTCCCAGTTTAATGGTGTGAATACAGAAGCACAAAAGCCAAAATTCAATCTTAGTATTCTGAACTTAAAGAGAAAAAACAAAATCAAAAACAAAAACTCAAACATCAACCCCACTACTGAAAAAACCTAGATCCCCAGCCTACCCAGCTAAGCCAAAAAGTTTCAGTCACTTGTATTGCATGAGCTAATCTTTAATTCGACCTGTATCCGTCTGAGAACTTCTGAGATTGAACTAATACTTCTAAGGATATACATGGGTCAAGAGTCCAAAAATAGTTCTCAAGTTGGGTAATGGCAAAAAATTCTGGCACACTCTTACTCGCCTTAAGCAAATCATATTTGATACCTGCTCATAACAATATAAACCCACCTGCCATGATGTCATCCAGCGTGTCATTGAGGGTCTGAGCAGGGCTGGCTACCATTAACCCTTGTTGTGTTTCTGTCAGAATTCCTTGCCCCAGCCCTGCCAACTGTGCTTGGCCCAGTACTGGCTGTCCAACTATCACTCCTTGCAGTTCTGTAAGATTTGCGATGGACCCTGGAGGCAAGGGACCTGCCGCCAGAGGCAAAGCTTGAGGCATGGCCAGAGGCTGGATTGGTGCAAAACCCATCTGAGCAGCAGTCTGCTGGGGTTCATCTTTAAGCAAAACGGGATCCACTTGCTGTAACCGTGCATAGTCTCCCTCGGAAAGCTGTTCTCCAACCCCAACAGGAGTTAGCAGTCCCAGATGTTGGCAAGACTGTTGCTGCTGCTGCTGAAGTTGAATTCTTTGAGCTTTAACCTCTAGATACTGCTTTTTTAGCTGCTGCTGAGTTTTCAGTTGTAACTCTCGTTCTACTTTCTGTAGCTCCTCCAAAATCTTTTGTTTCTTCTGAATTTGTTCCTCCCTTGTTTTGTTCAGCTCCTCGATCTTCTCCTTGGTAAGTTGGTCAGCGTGAGCCAGTTCCAAGGACTGCAGCTGTGCATTCTTTTCTATGGCTTCTTTTATCCTCTGTTCCAGTTCTGTTAACTTTCCCTGAGCCTCTTCTACAATGCTCTCTGGAGACTGATTGGTGATGTAACCCTGTACATCCTGGCTGTTTGCTGGCAAATGGCTGCTGGACTTTTGTTTAGAAGCAGCTGTGTGAAAAAGAAACCCCCTCAGAAGTGCACATGAATGGCATCCTCATTACAGAGTTACTGTTGGGAGGTTTAGTGCCAACAGTTATGCACCAAGTTATCATATCCACAGAAGGTGAAAATGCACTGTTAAGAAGTTTAAAAACAAATCCACCTTCTTTATCATAAATATAAAATGTATGTATTTTATGTGCATAGAGAAATCTCTGGGAAATTAATTTTAAAAATATCACATGGCTAAAATTAGACAATAGAGGGATGCAGGTCTGTGAGATCTAAGTGGTGCAATTAAAGTAAAATCTAAGGCTATGTGTAGATACTTCATCTGGTCATAGAGATGTAAAAACTTATCATCAGAACAGAAAAATAACGCTAGATTATTAAGATGTAAGGAAAACTTAGACCTCTAAGTCAAGGTTTTTCCACATTTGATAGTCTATGTCTTTTAAACACACACACATACACACAAAGAGTACCCAAACCACTGAGAAGTACCGGGAAATCTAAATCCAGCTAAAATTTGTCTTTGTTGGGGGACTACCATCTTCAAGACTGATAAAGGCAAGATATAAATTCACATATTCACACAGCTACCTGGCCAGTAGAGATTTGGGATTCAGTTTCCCTGGAAGAAAAGATGCTGGACTACGCCATCCACTGTATCTTCTGACAGCCAGGTGAATAAACAGATCTGGCTATGGGTACAGCAATCAGTTGTTTGCTACACCAACTGAAAAAGGTGCCAAGGCTCTAGACTGGTAGTAGTGACTGTAAAGAGCTGGTGGAAATACTTAGTATTCTTGTTGGTAAAATAATATAGGTAGCTAAAAACCAAAAAATTAAAACCACATTGGTTCTTCAGGTGAAACTTTTTAAAAAGAAAAACTGATTCAAACTGGTAGCTGTAATGTTTTGGGACATGACTTAAAACATGCATGGTGTAACATCCACAAGTCAAATATGGACCTCAGAGTTCTAGAGAAACAAACAAGCATATCTGAAGTAACTTTCAATTATTGACTGAGAAAGGTAGCCCAGATATAAAATCTACATTAAACCAGTTACTCTAAAATATAGTTTAATTTTGATCTAACTTGTTCATTTTATGCCTTAGATCACTACAGAAATTTAAGTAATTTACAAAAATGTCATCCAACTATACCCAGCCTAACAGTTTAACACGAATAGAAATGACCAGTTATTACAAGAAATGGTGGATAATCAGAACTGCATCAGAGATGAGCATCTGAATTTCTCCTGCTAATGCTGACAATTCTAGCATAAATCAGTGCTATTAACTATCTTCTCTCACAGTAACATGCCTTTTTCACTAGTAAAAAAATTTTTTAATTATGTCAACTTAGTAAAATTCACCTTTTGTGGAAAAATAATTATAAATGGCTAGGTTTTTTGGTAATCTTATCATTTTTACCTGGATAACATGTACAAAACAGTCTTCAGAAGTATAACTGACCTTTATTCCTGATGGGAAGAGTAGTGGCAACATTGGCAGGTGGTTTGTCAGGCTCCTGAGGTGGGACAACCATGGGCAGTGCTTGAACTGGTACACGAGGAGCCTAAGACAAAGGAAACTGATTATATCTCTGCTTTTCCTACACACTCCATTAAATAACATGCTTTAAGAATAAGTTATAAAGACTTCTTCAAAATATTTGTAATATGGTATTAATCTCAGACACTGATATATTTACTTAAAATATGTTGTTGCCAAATTATTCTCCACAACACTTTTTTAATGCACTTTGAATTCAAATGGTTATTCTTGCCATAGTAAGAAAACAAAGCAAAATCACATCAATCTACAATCTGAATATTAAACCAGATTATATCATTAACCATTTCAACTGCATACCTATAAAGAGAACTACATATTATAACAAAGTATAGTCAGATCTGTTTAAACTGAAACTATGAGCCAAAGGAGGATAAAGAAGATATGATATAAAATGTTTTTGTTTTGAATCTTACCCTATTTAAATCGTGGGATGGGGGGGTTAACTGAGTGACATCTGGTGGAGGGGCCGAAAGCAAATTATTAGGATAGTCCAAAAGATAGCAAACAACACTCGTATGGCCACCTTTTGCTGCTTCTATCAACATAGTTGAGCCATCCTAAGAGTGGACACAGAAAGGGAAAAATAAAAAAAAAATAAGTTAACTTATAGAACCATTAAGGATGATAAAGCTAACAGGCCCTAGCAATTCAAATCTTAGGTTTAGTAAAGAACACTTTCCTCTAATAAAACAGAAGAAAATGAATATGTTTAGAATGCCATTATAATCGAACTGGTAGATGATATTTTCTAATGTTCAAGAGTGAAGAATTAATTCACAATGCTACCCAAAACATTTGAGTTACATACTTTTAAACGATGAGTAGGATCTGCCCCATGAGCCAAAAGTAGTTCCACCACTGCCAGATGACCCCCTGCACAAGCCAGGGACAGTACAGTATGGTCATTATTAGCTGTGGTTCTATTCACATTCGCTCCTAAAACAGACAAGACATGGGAAATCATGTTAGGAGATTGAGGTTTCTTAAATTATGGTAAATTTCAAAATCATAAAGAATAGAGAGAATAGCATAATGAATATCCATATACCCATTACCCAGCTTCAATGATTATAAACACACAGCCAATCTCATTTCACATAAACCCATTATCAATTCTCCTCTCCCATCTTGAATTACTCTAAAGCAAATCCCAGACAAACATGACATAATTTCATCCGTGAATATTTTAGTATGCACTGGTAGAAGATAAAAATAAATGTATATATTACTCCTAATGTAATTAGTTTTAAAAAAGTAAAACAAAATTTTATCTTCATTTTAAGTCCTTCTCTAGGTGTGTAGAGAATTACCAGGGAATAGAAAGTAATAGTACTACTGGCTTCTTTCACTGGGAAATATCTGAGCGTGAAAACAGGTATACTGCCCCTCCAATATGAATTCATCTCTGATTTAGACAGTGTGCTAGGCAATGCAGGAAATGGATATAAAATAGCAGAAAGAAAATGGAATCTGATTAATTAAAATTTATCAGAGAGAGGATTGTGATTATATAAATAATTCCATTCTTGAAAATACTATGGTATAAATATACATCACAAATAAGTGTTCAAATTGCCTAAAGTAATTTGACCAGTAACTGATTTCTGACTTAGTTTCTTTTGCTATTATTAACAATTACAAACTTGAGATTTCTTTAGTATTTTTGCTAAGAAGGAAATGGTATATATTGCCATTTTAATTGTACATGGCTTGTATAGTCTTTCTTTTATCAATGTTGAATCAACAGTAAAATCTTTCATATCCTATACTTAAGGATATGATGAAATCTGTGGGGCGCCTGGGTGGGTCAGTCAGTTAAGCATCTGCCTCTTACTTTTGGCTCAGTTCATGATCTCAGGTTTCGTGGCATCAATCCCTGCATAGGGCTCTGTGCTGACAGCATGGAGCCTGCTTGGGATTCTCTGTCTCCCTTTCTCTTTGCCCCTGCCCCTGTCATACAAGTGTGTGTATGCTCTCCTCTCAAAAATAAATAAATAAACATTAAAAAAAAAAAAGTATGATGAATTCTGCAAACAAAACTATTTCAACTTGAACTTACACAGTAAACACCTCACAAATAATTTAAAGGAAGTAATAATATGATACGTTAGTCATTTAAAATGGTTTTTGATATTCAAAGTAGAATTACTGACCATAGATGAAAATCTTCCATGCATTTTGGTTTTTATCACATTTCAGTTTTGAATACTTTTTATACCGTATTTATGACCATTTCTCTATATTTTACAAAGAAGGAAACTTAGGCCCAAGGATATGTAGAGTAGAAAAGTGACTTGCCTTAAAGTAATTCAGTGGCATAAGAATCCAGGTTTCAGGATACATTATTACATAAACAGAACAGACTTTAAGTTATCTAAACCCTCAAAATTTTACTTAGAGAAATTTTTCTTTATGTAAGTGTTCCTTCACAAGGATGGTACTCAGTATGACAATCCTTCATAGTTTGGGACTATGGAACTGTTTGGAGATGCTCTATGCATTGAGGATATTTATCAACCACCCACTCACAGAATCTCAGTAGCATCCCTCCACCAGTCATACCCAAAAACTGTCCTTTACCTCTCAATCTCTAAATATCCAAGGGCAGGGAATAGACACCTTTGGGGGAAAAAAAAACTACTGCTTACCCAAACCTACCTTTACTAATTAAGAACTGAACAGTACAAACATGACCAGCTCTTGCAGCTTTCATTAAAGGAGTCCTTCCACCTTCAGATTCATGTTCCTATGTAAAAAACACAGACTTAATTGATATTTAATTGCTAGTGTACAGTTATTCTTTTTCATGAAAATAAAAAGGAAAAGAACTGGACTAATTTCTAAGTCTAAAGATATTAAATATCATGCTTTGAAATGAAATAAATTTAAGGAATACATTTTTAAATTTAAAACTCAAATTAGAAGCATGTTCTACAGATGTAATTTAAGAACTGAAATTATATTCATGTGATTGTGACACCTTCATCTAAATCCATCTGGGTAATTTTTCCTTCTCTCTCTCTCTACCAAAAGGACTGTGGAACTTGACCAGTCAATGGCACTCTAGCACATCCTTCTCCAATCAGCATTATCCCCATCTACTCCAAGTGATTTTCCTTTTGTAACCTTGCACCCTACCTGTATGAATTTCTGCAAGTACATCATTCCCTTTCTTTATGGACCTCCCATTAAAACCACATTATCTTATATGAAAACAACAAGGCTAGTGACTTAATAGCTCAAAAACCACCAATTACAACGTCTTACTAGAGATTTCTGGGTCTCAAAAAATGGAGAATCTATTGCCTTCTTCTTATTGCTGGGTAATGAGAACACTTGGAGAAATTTTCCAAGTTATATTTTAGAATATAAAGATTTGAGTTATAATACATATAATATATATATTTTTTAACACTCACATCTGATGAACAACTTTTGAGTCTTCTCTTAAGCCACACACTAAGTTGTTTGAATTGCAATTAACTAAGCAAGATACATTGCTGTATGTTTCACAGTCACTGTGGTAAACACTGGAAAGCTCAAAATCTAATCTTGAAGAAATAGGCACACAACTAACTAGAGTATAATATGTGCCATAAGGGCTTCAAGAGCTGTACTAACATACACAGAACTGAAAGAGACCACAATAGTAATCCAGTTCCACTCTTCTCCTTCCATAAATGAGGAAAGAGAAGTTAAACTTGGCAAAACTAGTTAATGGAGGAGTCTGTTTCTGCTTGCCTGTGAATTTTTGTCATAAACTATGAACTTCTACAAGAACACACACTTGCTTGTTAATCTCAGCCCCATGAACATATGGGTACTTAAGTTTTAACTACCTTTTCATGTCTCACTTCTACTTCCTCACACGTGAAACTGGAAGACTATTTTCCCCACACACGTTTGCTTTTCCTTCCCCGTCAGGCTATCCTCACACTATTTTTTCCAACAGGAATATCTCTTTTGTCACATCACCATATCCACCTTTCTAAACCTTAATGTAATATCTCAGATGACGTCTTTACGTCTTCTGAGCTTCTTTATTGTCTGTACTTTTGCTGTGACATCTCTTCATAATCACCCTACAATAAACTCAGTATTTCATCCTTCTTACTAAGTTGTAAGTTGAGGACTATTAAATACTTATATTCTAAAAATAGCTAAGTACCTAAGAAAAACTTTGTATTAATGTATCTAATACAAAATTTCCCTTTTATGGGGGACAAGGGGAAATAGATTGTATGACCCCACTAACAAGAAAAAAAAAACAGACACCAAAGAGTGTAGGAAAAAACAATGACCAAATGAGAGAAAAACTAGCAAAAAGGCCAACAGAAAATTAAAAGAAATACCTTTTATCTGTAATCTCCACTAAACTTTTAATTAATTTGTCTTGGTTTTAAGTATTAGGATTTAAAAAGTGACATAGTTTACCAGATCTGCTCCTGCTTGAAGTAGGACATCTGCTACATCGGTATGACCATTCTCACAGGCATATGTTAGTGCTGTATCCCCTGTTGCTGTTGTTGCATGAACGTTAGCTCCTGTAGTAGTATTAAACAATACAGAGACTTAATAAAAGAATTGTAAGACATAAATGATGGACACAGAAATTTCTAAATAAGCCATATGTCTTTAAATTAGACAAAATAGTCATCCATTTCTAGAAATAAAGAAGACTGTCAGCACTTTAAAACTAAAAAATAAAAAAAATCAGAAATAGATTATTGCTTGAAATTAAAGCTACAGATACTTCAAACAGTAATAAGGTAAATTAGTTATAAAGTTACCACAACTTTTTACCACATTTTTAAACACACAATCAGTGTATCATAACATCAGAAAAAAGTTACTTGCATTATAACATTTTTACTTGGATAAATCATGTAAAAAACTCTTTCCAAATGCAAAAATGCCTACCTGCAGCTAATAAGTATTTAACTAACTCCAAATGACCCTCTTGAGCAGCTTCCATTAAAGGGGTAGAACACCCTAGTTCTATATCAGCTCCTGCCTTTATTAGAAAGTCTGCCACTTCCAGAAAGCCTCCACAGCAAGCCAGAGTCAAGGCAGTTTCTTGAGTTTCTTCTGTCTGTGCATTGATATTTGCTCCTAGAATGAAAATTCTAATTATTTTAAGGAACTCACTAACTTATTCCAGAGATAAGCAAAACATGATTGTTTCCTAATAAACTATACTTCAAAAATAAACATTTACATTATTTTACTAAATATAGTGCTTCTCCCCTACTGAGAGGCAGTACGAATAAAGAAAAAGTTATTAAAAATACATCCACGAGTCTACATTTGATGCACACAGCTGGAGTAAGATTTATTCAGCCAGAAGGCACATAAGTGTGCCTATATATCTATATCTACAGATATAGATATATGAACTTTCACAGCAACCCTACAGAAGACTAAATTCAGGCACAGAAGGTTAGAAACTTGTGATTCAAACCTAAGAAGTGTGCTACAATACATCTGCTTTTAAAGTTATAGCCAATACGCTTTTTTTAATGTTCCACTCCTCTTAAATTTGTCCAAACAAAAACCTTACTACTAAAAGAGATATAAAACTTGGCTACAAATATATAGAGAGATAGGAGATTACTTCTAAACTGAATATGGCTTAATACCGCAAAGTAACCATTTCACTTTTCTCAAAAGAAAAGTCTATTGTGTGCCGATTCTTTTACAGCTTCTTATAAATACATTCTTACGTTCTCCTCAAGTTCATCCTTATGGTAGGATTTCCCATACTGTGTCCCATGAAACCCTAGATATATCAAATATTTATTAATAGGTATCCTGCCCCAAGAGAAATTCTCTCAATATACCACTTTGAGAAATGTCAAATCTCATATATGCCTCTACATAATCTACACCCCTACCTCACCCCCAGTTCTCTGCTTGTATTCACAAAGCACACGATGCCTGAAAAGTTCTATATTAAAGCAGTCTATTTGATTTTGTTTAGCACAGTATGGAAGCTATTTTCAAAGCAAATACGTTGTTTTTGTGACATCTTGTTACATATCTACTAGAAAGAGAAAACACAGAAACCCAGTTTTGTACTATTATAATGTTATGTTTTACACATTTATGCTTTACTGTTTTCACTGGTATGGTTACCTTGGCCTAGAAGTAATGCCACCATTTCTTCATGTCCTTCACGAGCTGCCTCCATCAGTGGTGTATAACCTTCATCATTGACTTCTTCCAGGCTAGCTCCTCTTTCAATAAGTAAAGCCGCAAGTTCCACATGCCCACCACATGCAGCCAAAGTCAATGGTGACTCAAATGAATCAGCAGGCATGTTCACTTGGGCACCACTGTCAAGAAGTAACCTAGCTACTTCAACATGGCCATCCTAATTACAATGCAATTAAAAAAATTAAATCAGCACCATTAAAAACAATTGTTAAAAATATGAAGATTTCTCAATTACTGTACAATGAAGGTTTACTGACAGTCAAATAAGAATAATAAATCTACATTTAGCAGATGAGAAATCAAGTATTAATTAAGACCTATCTGTATTTCTGTGGCATAGATGGGGAAATAGAGGTTGAGGCTATGAAACATGTAGAAAAATAATACCTTCCTTCAATGAAGAAGCTTATTAACCATTAGGGGAAAAAAAGACATTAAGTACATGAAACAAAAGACTACTATGAAATAACATCAGCACCTCATGGTATATACTTAAATGCTAACTAGATAAAGTTTAGAAAGGGAAAGTACAATTTTCGTCGAAACCTTAAAGAGAAGCAAACTTTTGATTAGGCAGGAAAAAAATTGGCAGTATTTTTTGGAGAAGGTAGAGAATTGTAGATAATGTGTTAGGGGAAAAGGAACACAATATGTAGATGGTACTTCCTTTTGTTTTTCAACATTTAAATGCCAGTAAAAATTAAAAGAGAAAGGAGTTCTCTCTATCTTCTGTCCCCTTTGCTGGTCTCCCTTTCCAACAGCTTTCCTAACTACTGGCAACTCCAAGACACTCTAATTTTTTTTTTAACCTCTAATATAAATTTTCCTTCTATATATTACCTCACAGACATTTCATCTTTTTTTGTACACATCACACCCATTTTTACCTCTGTGCTTGCCATGTTACACAACTTTAATGCCCCATTACAATGGTTACTTTGCCTTCCTTCGGCTCAGAATTTTCTACCTCCATATATAGTCAACTCCTACATTTCTTTTAAAGTCCAGTTTAAAACCCCATTCTCTTAGCAAGCTTTGAAATGTCGGGCCACTACTAATATCTTTCATCTATTTATAACACTTCCAGTACGTACTGATTAGGTCTACAAAATGCTCTATTTTAATTTCTTAATCTATATACCTTCTAATCTAGTGGTGGTCACAAGGATGTTTTAAGTTCCTTATCATGGGGATATTACTGATGTGTTTTATATGCATTATACCATTTAATCCTCACAACAACCCGAGAGAAGGATATTATCCTAATTTTAACAGATGGAAACTTAAGACCTTGAAAGAAAACTCGTGTTTCTTCAAAGGATAATTTACTAAAGGAAATATTAGCATGACAATAAAGAAAACAAAGATAACTCAGGTTTTAATTAGTTACCTAATATTTTAAAAAATTAGTAATTAAAATTTAACATCCTTGCAATAATCATTCTCTGAAGGGAAGTTGAGATAAGAAACTTAAATTCATTTGGTGCCTTTTTCCATCTTTGGCATGTTTTTCTCGTAAATCTGTCTACAATGTTATTCTGATCCATTTCTATGCCACAAATCATATACTGAGATACAAAAGTTTAAGAGGACTATTATTACCTGTTCTTAAGTACAAACTCTAAAAAGAGAGTTCTTACAAAAGGAATTAAAAGCTCAGAAAACACCATTCATATAGGGGGAATTATGTTACACAAATAACACTCTAATTTCAAATTTTTCAGAAGTTACATTTTTGGTTTGATGTATTTGCTATGCTTAGTATTATATGCATACTTGTGGTTTATATTCTTCTTAATATCCTTGATCAATTTTTTAAATAGTTGCTTTTTGTCCCAACTATGTAAAATCAGCATAATTATGGGAGACTAGGAAAATAAAAGTAGTTCTGTAAAGCTCCAGAAAGCATCTTTAGTAGAAGTTAATATTGTACAACTGGCTCTGAACACTGGTCACAATTCAGATAGCTGAGGTTCTGTTCTACAATAAATCTATAATAAACAAATCTTTGAACTCAAGAATAAGGTCCCCAACATACACTAGCACTGTCTTTATGAAATACACAGATACATTTCATGTATGTATTTCACCAGTCTTACCATGCAAGCCTCCATTAGAGCAGTGTGCATTTCATCTGTTTTATGCTCTTGATCTGCCCCTGCTTCCAAAAGAAATCGCACCATCTCTAGGTGTCCTAAACCAAAATGTGTAAGATTATTATAAGGTATTTTATTATTCCAAAAAATGTAAGTTACAGTATTTTAAAAAGTTATATTTAACTTATAGCAATAAATTTATAAGCATAACACTAAAGTCAGCTACAAGCCGCCCTCAACTGTCACACATAAATTATACAAGTGATTCTTGCTCTTCTACTTTTTACCCTGTTGCCGCTACTACAACCCCAATGCAACTGAGCAAAGATGTCACTGAAATCTAAAACCCCAAATATCCCTTCTATAACCTTTTCTAAGAGCTGAGGCATGCTCTATTTATTTATGGTATGGAACAAATTAGCTTTTGTGAATTAGTTGCCTGGGATAATAATAATTGAAGTTATTTCTATGAGGAAATGTGTTTTAAGTTTCAATTACTAACTCACAGACTTTTTAAGAACAATCAGCCTGTAAATTGGGAACTGTATATATAAAAAAATACTTTCGAAACCACACCATTTAGTTTACACTTATGCATTTATTTAGATATCATACACACACACATACATATATGTGTACATAATATATACATACACACACACACTCTTACCCTTGTATTTACATTTATGTAGTTTCAAATAAACCATATGTTTCAGTTCAAATAAAGACATCTTACAAGTAGTTAAAAAGACAAGGACTTCAGACACTATGCAAGTAACAATAGAAAAATGACTTAATTTTTTTCCAATATTGTTTGTTAAGAGTTGCAGTCAATGCTCAATCAGGACCAAGGGGAAGGAGCAGATGGTAAAATCATAAACAATTAAAACTAACTTCAATAAGTAACTTAGCATCTGCCATATTTTGTTTTTGCTACCTACCTCCCTCCCTTTCCTCTCTGTCATTCTCCCTTCCCAAAGATCCACATCAACGTTCAGTCTCAGCCTGAGTTCTATCCCTTCCACATCTTCTCCTTGTCAATCTATGTCCTAGAAGACCTCACCCAAAATTAGAGGAAAGGGAGAGGGTCCATGGTTCCTTGTAAGTAGCAGAGATGTTCTCCACCAGCTCAGTTCTATATCCAGCTTCTAATTAAAGCCTGCAAGCCCAACCTCAGACGCCCCTTGGAAAGCAGGGTGGGGCTATAAGCAAAGGAGAGAGGGAAGAGTAGTTATATGTAGCCCGGTCTCAAAGCTCTTCTGGCCAGCTGGGACTAAGTGGTAAAAACAGCCAGTTCCGGGTTCAAAAGTATTTGTGAAAAGGGGAGAGAGCCACCCAATCAATCAGCCTGTCCTGGAGAGGCTGTCCCAAGGCTTAATTCCTCTCCTCCCAATGAACATAAGCCTCTGCCTAATTACCAAACAGTACTAGGGAAGTAAGGGATCTCAGCTGTGTTTCCTAACCATCCTTACCTGAAGCTCTGTTAACACCAATCAAAAGCACTTTAGATAGAGCATATTTTCACATTTAACTTATATTTTAGTCATGTATGTATTTAAGGGTTATTTTAACCATTGTTTGTAAAGGAAATTTTTCCAGATGACCTTACACAACCTTGGCCACTCTAAAGTAGAATGAAACAAAACAACACCAGAGCCAGTACTAGGGTAGGGCAATCAAGGGCCTAGGTGTAAAATTTAAGGAAGTGTTCTCTCACAAGCTTGGTGGGTGAAGTGATTCAGCCATTGAGAGGAAGTGCCTCCTTGAACTCTGTACCTTGCCTTGTAAGCGCTGTTCCTTGACACCTAATGGTCAAGATTATCACTTATTTTACGATACAAAGATGACACAGCTGCAGATGGTATGAAAGCAGACATAAAATTTTTTTTTTTTTTAATTTTTTTTTTTTTTCAACGTTTATTTATTTTTGGGACAGAGAGAGACAGAGCATGAACGGGGGAGGGGCAGAGAGAGAGGGAGACACAGAATCAGAAACAGGCTCCAGGCTCTGAGCCATCAGCCCAGAGCCCGACGCGGGGCTCGAACTTCCCGGACCGCGAGATCGTGACCTGGCTGAAGTCGGACGCTTAACCGACTGCGCCACCCAGGCGCCCCATAAAATTTGGTTTTTAAAAAGTTCCTTAGTTAATAGCCATTTATCTGTCAAAAAGGTAGACTTTGAGAAGTACTGGCTCTGTGGTTATCTTTTTTAGAATCTAGAATCTAGAGCATTAACTAGCTGAAGACCAAGACACTTTCCAGACACTTGTCTTGCCCTCTCAAAGGAGGGTATGTTTCTGTATTACCAATATTTTCAGGTTGATTGACATCATTTAAAATATCACATACCCCTTTTATAGTCACATATACATATACATATACAAAGGTATGGGTACGTGTTTTTCTCACTTTCAACCAGCTCTTCCTTCTAACTTTATGAAATGTATTGACGATACTCTAGAATTGTTCTTTAGAATTCAAACTCTCTTCACACCACTTTCCATTTCTCAAATCTCCTCTAGTCTCTTCAATTTTTCTCCTTTCTTCTTAGTATCATGAGAAATAGCTTAAGAACATTCCTATTAATGGATCATTCTAGCTACTTTGATTGTATTTACGTTTAAATTTATACGCTAAATACTTCTGGAGTCAATAGGATTCTTTCGTGTGAACCATGAAAAATATTCTGACACAAAAACCATTAAAAAGTACAGTGCATAATTAAAATTAAATAACTGTTTCTGATAAAACAACTGAATCATGTAACAGTCATTTTTCATTGACATATATTTATAATATTAAGTCTATATTTTAAAATTTTACATATTAAACTCTGAAACACTTTAAACCCTTTTAGGTTAATTACATACCATATTCTATTGCCACCTCTTAATTTGCTTTTTAATTTAAAAACTCTATTATATAAAATAACTGTCATCTCATGTACTTAAAAACTTTGTTTTAAAAAAACGTTTTATACCGTACCTTTGTAACAAGCTAATGTAAGGGCACTCTCTTTAAATTCATTGGAATGCGTATTAATGCCAGCCCCATTTTCTAGCAGCAATCTGGCTACTTCCACATGTCCAGCACTTCCAGCTTCCATAAGAGGAGTATGACCATTTTCATTATGGTCCTCGATACTAGCACCGGATTCCAAGAGCACCTTTACAACATCTACATAGCCTCCAGCACAAGCGTATGTAAGTGCTGTATTGCCTATTTTAAGAAAAACAAAAAGACATTAACATAAAATATCAAAATAAAAAGATCCTAATTTAGTTAGCATCAGGAAGAAAACTGAAATGGGAGACTATAATTTTAATAAATTTAGAAAATATATATCATTCCTTTCCCATTGCCTTTTATCTTACTGAAATCAACTCCCAATTCTTTCCATTTAGTATCAGGGTCAAATATATATGGAAAATAGACACACTTAACACGACTGTAGAGTTATCAAAGAACTGAGCAATTCTGAAACTAACTTTTCATATAAAAAAAAGTTATGTTCATTGTAACCTTAATTGGAGAAATGTTTCAGAAGCTTTATGTTGGGAGGATAATTATTTATCATATATAGGTACATCTCATACTGTTCCTTTTAATTATACATATTTGATTTCCTACAAATTCAATTATCAGTTAACTGATCAAAGCTACATAATTTCAAAAACATTCCTTCTTGATGATAAAAATCTCCTGTGTTACAGGGGGAAAAAATAAACCTTCTAGGTAAAATAATGATTTCTAAACCCCTTCCAACCAGAACCTGTAAGATCATAAAAATTCTTTCAATTATTTAACAAATTTGAAAATCCTGCATGAAGATGCACAAAATATATTTTCATTTAATTTTTAGAAGTTTTATATAAATCCATCCATGCCCAAGTTTGAAGAAAAAAATAAAGTTAGTTTAAACTAAAGTCATGTCCATTGTAGGACACAATGTTTTCATAATTTTTTTTTTTCTATAGGCCACAATTTAGTAACAGTAGACAATGATAGACCTGCCTTTTGTTCCATATCCTTCTTGTTTTCCCTATCTTCCCTTCCCTTCCTCCCTGAAAAATAGGAAACCTGGATTGAAGAACTATAGCCCATTTCCAAGAGGGTAGTCCTTCTAACTGGGCCAGTGTTTAATTTAATCTAAAAGAACCTCAAAAGGCCAAGTAATCATCCTCAGACACAAAAGAGAAACTTTATTCAAAATATTTCTATACTTTAAATCTAATGCATACACTTAGGAAAATGTGCAGTACTTCATAATTAGAGCACTGCAAAAGCTGTACTAATGATGATTTTCATGTGACATAGTTATTACCAAAAGGTGCTAATATTTAACAAAACTGAAAGAAGAAACATGAATAACCTGTTGAAGACTGTGCATTGACATCGGCTTTATGAGCTAGCAGCAACTTCACAATTTTGACATGTCCTCCATTAGCAGCAGCCATTAAAGGTGTAATGTCACCTTTGATTCCCCTATCTTCCACATTTGCATGCATTGCCAACAAAACCTTATGAAAGAAAAAGTTTAAATGATATTAGAAAACAATATATTCATCAAAACATGTGGAACATGTTTACGTTAACACCTACCTAGTGATTTATAGTCAGAGTCCATAACCACAACATGTATCTAACAAAAATTTGTTGAAATGAGCCTAATGGTTGAGTTTATTTTATTATTTGTCTAAGTAGGCCAGATTAAAAAACAAAAACAGAAACAGCCCATGTGCTTTATTTTGATACTACAAACCTGTGCAAGCTCATAGTATCCAGCAGAACAAGCTAAACAAAGGAGGCTCTCCCCTTCCTCAGTGTGCTCATTTACGCTCCGCCCTTCAATGAGTAACTTTCGCACAGCATTTACATCTCCTTCTGAACAGGCTTCTGCCAAACTGCGGCTATTAGGGAAGAATATTATAACATCAGCATATAAAAATGTTAAAAATTACACACCATAAGTATTGGTTTTTGAGGTTAATCTGGACAGTCGTGCTAAACAAGAATGATCACTTCAATATGATCCATAAGAAACAGAAAACTGAAAATGACTCAGTTCACTAAAATCTACTCATAAAATTCACTGAATTAGAATTATCAACATTATAAGATATTTATAGCTATGCACTGAAGTACAAAGTCCACTTTACTATCACTGGAAAAAACCCAAAATTCTAAAACATAAAATTTATGGAAAATCACATGAACAAAATACAGGTAATAATTATACTTCCTTTTTGCTTGGTCATGAGAAAACTTATATAAAAGTTAATAAAAATATATTTAATAAAACAGGTAAAACTTATACTAATTATAAAGGTCTACTTGAATCCTTCCATCAATTAAAGGGAAATCAGACAGGAAAGTTACAAGCATATAATTTTGAGTAAAATATGAATAAACAATAAGGAAATTCTTTTTTGAAGTATTTACTTATGTATCATATTTAGTCGAAATCTGAAAAATACCCAGGCAAAGCAAATGCTAAATTCAAGCAAAAGGAAAGTAGAAAAAGTGGAACAACAGAAAATTAGACTGAGAGTAAAGTGTTTGCCCTATAAACTTCCCAAAATAATTCCAACTATGGACACTTCTAAAAAATTCTATTTTTGGATAAAATCCATCCGAAGAAAAACACTAAATCCAGTGCTCTTAATTAACATTCTCTTTATTTCAAATATAAGTCAATTCTTATATCATCCTTTTCAAGGTCCTGTCACTTCTGGTACTGAAGTCATCCATGGAACCTCTCTTCTATCCCTTTATTATTACTGCCACCCAGATTCAAGAACATCATGTTTAGCCTGGATTAATGGCAAAGTCTCCTGAACAGTCTCCCTGCTGTTACCTTTGTTTTCCTTCAGACTCTTTCAACATGGCAGCCTGAGTGAGAGATCTTGTTTAAAGGAAAGTATATCATGGCATTCTTCTGTTCAGAATCCTCCATTTGGCTTCTGATCTCACACTAAAAGCCAAAGTACTTACAAGATCTGTCCAGTGGTAGGGTCTCACACTCCTACTTTTTACCTCTCTGGTTTCATCACCTATTCATCACTCTTATTCTTTCCACTTTAGCCACACTGATTAGCTTTCCTGCTTTTCATAAAAAATGCTAATTAAGCTCCAACTCTAAGATACCTGTATTTGCTGTTCCTCTGGCAAGACCTCTCAGACACAGCTCACACCCTTACCAATTTCAGGTCTTTGCTAAAATGCCACCTTTTAAGGGAGGATCTCCTTGACTACTCTTAAAAATGCACCATGACTTCCAACCCCAAACATTGCCCTGGCACTTTCCCATTCAATTTTTCCCCATAGTTCTCATCATCGTGTGCCATGTTACATGTTTTACTTACTTGTTAACTGTATTGTCCCCTTACCTACGTCAATGTCTTGAACAACACTTAGTGTCCTTGTCTCGTAATTTCCCATTTTAAAGGACACTAACAGTCCTCAGACCCAGTGTTCTCCATTACCTTTAAACAAATGTAAGACAAATCCTTCCTACAAGACATTTCTGTGTAAGAACATCTTTTCTCTCCTTCACATGGACTCATATTTTCTTTCTTCCTCAGGCACACACACACCCTACTCTACTATCCCATTCAGGCTTGCATTCAGACATTTCCATATGTGTATGCTAGCTTTAAAACAAGCTTATAGGAATTACTGTAGCAACAGTTCAAATTTCAAACTTATGAGATCTGGCAGATGGCACCACACTTAACTAATAAAATCTAGCATATAACATCAATGCACTCCACTATATTTCTCAAGCTTTGCTGAATAAATGATTGTCACAAACATGCTCTGTTCTTCTAATATACTCAATGCCAAAGAATCAGTGACTTTTTATTTTTCTGTTCTATTTCCTGGTTGAACTAGCCTTAATATACTCTTCAAGGTGCTTTTAACTTTCTTTCTTGACAGTCTAAACAGGCACCATATTTAAGAGAATATCAATAATATTACAGGGTAGTAAAACTGTTAATTAAGAAACAGAACTTGAAGTTAACAAAAGAAAGAGGGTCAATCTATGAGAAGAACAGTAAATTAATAAAAACACAAAAATCTAAACCAATGAAGATGAATACAGAGCCAAGAGAAACAGCAAATTTTCTTGTTAATACTATACAGCTTCTTTTTCATGCTCTTAAAAGATGTTACATAAAAACACTATTATACAAAGACAATCCCTTTTTTTTTTTTTTTTTTTTAAGAGAGACAGTGGGTACAAGTGAGCAAGGGGCAGAGAGAGAAAGTGAATCCCAGTGAATCCCAGGAGAAGAGTTGGGGAGGGATGGCAAAGAGAAGTGGGACTCACCAAAGTGGGGCTCAAGCTCACCTGACATGGGACTCAAACTCATGAACCCTGAGATCACAACCTGAGCCAAAGTCAGATGCTTAATGACTGAGCCACCCAGGTGCCCCAAAAGACAATCCTTAAATGCTATTTTTTACACTCTAAACCCACATATAAAATAAAATAAAAATTTTAATTAAAGGAAAACAAGCCTCTGAGTAATCAAAAAAATGTAACATATTAATAATTCTTTTCCATTTGCTTCCTTAAAGCTTATATCCATTTTTCATATATTATCCATAATTGGTTTTATATATGAGATGGTATGATTTTTATTGAGTCAGATCACCAGAAAAACTTAAAATAGCAAAGTCACAAAATATTCACTGAGCCGTAACTATAAAGTACTATAGAAAAGAAATTGTAGGGGATACAAAAATAAAATCCCTGGGACTCACTTACATTCAAATTATGGGAACTAGATCCATGATATTTCTTGAACATTCATAAAACAAATAAATTAAAACCTTGCTATTTAAAATGGTCAGAACAGGGGCGCCTGGGTGGCTCAGTCGGTTGAGCATCTGACTTCGGCTGAAGTCATTATCTTGCGGTCTGTGAGTTAGAGCCCCGCATCAGGCTCTGTGCTGACAGCTCAGAGCCTGGAGCCTGCTTCTGATTCTGTGTCTCCCTCGCTCTCTGCCCCTCCCCCACCCATGTTCTGTCTCTGTCTCAGAAACAAACATTAAAAAAAAATTTTTTTTTTAAATAAAATAAAATGGTCAGAACAATGTACATGAACTAGAAATGGCATGACTAATTAGAAAGCATTTATTTCTTTGTCACCAAAACATTAAAAGACAACAAAATCTATTAAATAAGCAAAAGCTCTTTTATAACATATTGGCTAAGAAGTCAGTCTTGCATCACTGGTGTCTGAGCTTTGCCACTTGTCAGCTATTTGATCTTGATTAAGTTATTTGCTTCCCTTGAGCTTTTCATGAGTAAAATGAGAGTAAAAACAAAATCCATTGCTTTAGGGCTTTATGTGAGTAAAAACGAGATATCACATATAGTATTTCATATATACTTCCATGCCATGCACAAAATAAAAGCTCAGTGAACATTAGCTACTTTTAAGAAAATGTTTTTATATCAATCACAGAGAAAATGTTCTTACTTGTCCGACTGCCCTGCATTCGCTGTGCTTTCAGCTCTCATCCGGGTAAGTGCAGCAGCAGCTTCATCCAACGCACAACTAACAGACGACGTCAACCTCCGAAGCACTTCAGGATCTGCAAAGGCTTTACCATCAGCCGTAGATAATTTGCCTATTCCTATTATATTATTTTCACACCAATATGGACACACCCAAAAGGAGAAACAAAGCAAAAGTCAAGTTACTTAACTCTATATATGTTAGCAAACAACCTTCAAATGTTACACTTGACATATATATTGTCTGCCTGGAATCTTTTGGGAAATCACTGTTCTCCAATTCTCTAATAATCTTATTCCTTCCATGTGGTCTGTAAGTGCTTGACCCTGTGACTCTCTGGTGCCAGAAATGGGTCTTTGGCCTATGCTGGAACAACTAGGAGTCCTCACTCAGACTTTTGCATTGGTTTGGTAGGACCTATATGTTCAAAGGTTACTAAATTGCTAAGATGTGAGTGATGAGCTATTTGGCCACTTTCATGACTACAGAGAAAAAAAGACCACACAAAATATGTCATTTAGAGGAGAGGAGGGCAGAGAAATATAAAGAAAACAGAGTTCTGATAACGTTATTTTAGTGCCAGGAATCAGAACAATCCCCATACTTTCGGTAGATCCCCACTTTTGCTTAAGACTGTTTAGGTGGCTTACTACCACTTGTGACCAAAAATGGCCTAACAAGACATAATAGGCCATACATACAAAAGATAACCTATATATAAGCACCTATTTATTTCAAATTACATCTATAACTTATTACATGTACTCAAAATCATATCTAAAAATCATTCAGAACACCAAAAGAAAACAAATTCAAAAGCAGAACTGGTTAGTAACCACCTGCATGAATATAATTTACTGCTTTTCCAGATATCACTACAAAGCAAATTTATCTTTAACCTTTATTATTCTAACTCAGTGGTGCTTAATCCAGGCTGCCCATCTCAGCGGAGCTTTTCAAAAATACAGATGCTAAGCTCTCCTCCATCTAAAGATGTATTAAGTAAGAGGTGGGGCCTAGGCATACATATATTTTTAAAGTGCCAAGATTCTAATGCACAGCCAGGATTAAAAACATCTGCTCCAACTTGAAGATAAACACCTAGATATTTTGGATCACTGCTCCTCAACATGTGGTACATGGACAAAAAGCATTGCTGTCATTTGGGAGCATGTTAGAACTGCAGAATTTTGGGCCCGAAGATTTACTCATCCAAAACCTGCATTTTTAAAAAAAGATCCCCAACCAATTCAGAGGCACAGTAAAGTTCAAGAAGCATTATCACAGGTTTTAAAGCAAACTAATTAACTAAGACATCAATCCAAAAAAAAACCACTCAAATGGTAATAATAAACATATCCTTTCACATTGGAAGGGCTTAATAACATCATATAAGTTTGTGTTTAAAGTTCACAAAAATTGGGGTGCCTGGGTGGCTTAGTCAGTTGAGCATCTGACTTCGGCTTAGGTCATGATCTCACGGTTCATGAGTTCGAGCCCCACGTCAGGCTCTGTGATGACAGCTCAGAGCCTGGAGACTGCTTCACATTCTGTGTCTCCCTCTCTCATTGCCCCTCCCATGCTCACACTGTCTCTCTCTCTCAAAAATGAAAATAAACATTTAATAAATTAAAAAATAATAATAAAGTTTACAAAAGTTTATACTTATCTCCTCTTCTTTCTGAAAAACCCAAGATACCAAATACTACATCTTATAGAACCAAAAATAATTCTGGCAGGAAACCTTTATGATTTTAGATATAACAAATGGTCAGAGCAATCAAATTTGGTATGTGTTACAATCAAGATGTGCAAGGAATAAAGACAGTCTCAGTCTGATAAAACTGATACCTACTATATAATTTGTGTCACTAAAAATAAAATCCAACCATAGTCTGAATCTGCTATAGTATTTATTAAGATATTTATGATTAGTTAAGTATCCTAACACTATAGAAACCAAAGCCACAGACGCATTTTCACATGAGACAATAGCTCCAATTTTTTAGCCAATTCAGATCAGTTATGTAACAATTATTTGTCAATAACAGCAAGAGAACTAGGGAAGAGGATATATCTGATTTAGTAGAAAGTAACCACTGCCTTAAAAAGAAAGAACAGTGAAAACAAAATATTCCATATTAAATTTTTATCTTCTCATATCTTCATAAGTAAAGATAACAATTTTAGTAAATATAACTAGGTAGGAAGTAACCTAAGATATAAATAGTAACCCTTCAAATAACACACTGATTGAAAATGAATTCATTGTAGCTACTCTGGATTATGATGATCCTTTTTTTACTGGTCTTATCCAGTTATTAAATATTAATCAATGAAGATCAAAAATCAGAAAAGATGTGGTCAAATGATTCTTTCCCAATTCTAACATTTAATCAACTGAACAACAGAACCATGTCACTTGTGACCAAAAATGTCCTAATAAGATAGTATAGGCTACATAAAATACAGAAGAGAAAAAGTACATTGAAAAATTACCTACATTTCTGATTTTAAGATAATTATTTTCTCTTTTTTACCTAAGACTTACTCAACCTAATTCCCACTTATGAAGACAAAAAAAAAAAAAAAAAAAAAAAAAAAAAAAAAAAAAAAAAAAAAAGAGAAGTAATGGACTTAGCAGAACAGAATAAACAGAAACATAGATATCAAAAGAGAAACAAGGTGATCAGCCCATCAGGACTCAGGAAGTACAGGTCCCAGATACAGGGGTAAGGCTTGGGTCATTATACAGAGAGACTAGCTGAACACTGTGAGAAGCAGTCAAACACTCAAAGACTCCATTCCCAAACAGCACAGCCAGATGATTGTTCTCTATAGAAACCAACCAGAAAGGCCCAGGATTAGTAGTCTTAGATACAGATAAGAAAGAGACGTTATACTAAATGGAAATGAAGATTAAATAAGTGTATGCATGTCAAACAGTGAGATCCTCAGCCTCTTCCCACTCTAAGCTCCCAAAATTCAGGTAGCCAGGTTTATCATTCACCAGACAAAAACTGGTAAATGTCTCTGTCAAGAAACTGAAAAACCCCAGAGAAAACACTTAAAGATACTGACATTTGGGGAGTTTTCCAAGAAATGAAAGGGTCTCTACCAAGTCACTGTGTACTGGAAATTCTACAATGTTCCCAAGATTACCCAGCTCTGGTGAACTCCCTCTGTGAACTAACAGTCTTGGGACTGTGGATTTGATAGCTTTTATCCCCATGATTAGGTTACATAATGTGGCACAGTTGACCTAAAGACAGGAATATTATCTGAGTGAGACTGACCTTATCACATGAGCCCATGAAAAACAAAGCTTTTCTAGGCTAGTTGGAGAAAGGGAAATCAGAGATTCTTACCATTAGAAGGATTCTACTGTGCTGGCATGAAGATGGACTGGGCCACATGTTAAAGAATGAGGGCAACCTCAAGAAGGTAAGAGCAGCCCCAGCTGACAGTCCACAGGAAATCAGGATCTCAGTCCTACAACTCCTATCAACAACAATAAGCCTGAAAGCAGATTTTCTCCTACAGCCTATAGATGAGAACTCTACTCATCAGCAGATACCTTGATTTCAGCCCCTGAGACTCTGGGCAAGAAAATCTATCCACACTGTGTGCCCATATGTCTTATTTACAGAAACTAAGGAATAGTAAATGTCATGCCACTATGTTTAGAATAAACTGTTGTGCTGTAATAGTAAACCAATTATATAATATCTATCATTTACAATATATAATAAATACTGCATAGTGAAACCCACCAGTTGACAAAACATGCACATATACCTTCCAGTGTAGCTTTTTATGGCTATGCTATTGACTAAAAAAAAAAAAAAAAACAAAAAAACAGACTTTTTTTGTAGAAAATCCGAAATGTAAAGGGCAGCCAAAATATTCAAAATGTGAGCAAAATTTTAAATGCCGAAAATTCTAATGATATGGAGAAGGAAGACATAGGAAAAGTTGCAGAGATAGCAGACTACTATAAATAAGTGTGGCATTAACTTTCAGAACTGCAACACCAGAAATTAGGAGACAATGGAGTAATAATTTCAATAGTCTGAAAGTTATTTTTACACTAGAATTCTATATGTAGTCAAACCATCAAGTATGAGGACAGCATCAAAGGCACTTTCAGGCAGAATCAAAAACTCTTTATTTTTCAGGCATACTTTCTCAGGATACTTAAACCATGATCAATCTCTACACCATGAAAAATGAAGCCACAAGAGTGGTTCTGTGATACACAGGAAATACATACACCATGAATAACTGTTCATGCCAAAGCCAAAATGAATTTGAATCTGGTCAAATATCTGGATCTGAATTCTGATTTACAGGAAATACAACATGCACAAGTGCCATAAAATGAGTCAAATAAAATCTATTTATTCAACAAATAAGTGGGGGGGGGGGGGGGGAAGAGGAAGAAGGAACCTGTTAACAATTAAGAACTCAAATTAACTTGAAACTTTAACATGAAAAACACATATAATTTTACATACAAAAATATGTAAATATGAAATAGGTGAAGGAGACTAAGAGTACACTTATCATGATGATCACTGACTATGTATAGAATTGCTGAATCTCTGTATTGTATACCTGAAACTAATATAACACTACATGTTACCTATACTGGAATTTAAAAACTTATACAAAAAATGAAAAATTTGTTTGGATCCTAATTTAAATAAACTAAAAAAGACCATTATGAAACAAGTGGGGAAATCGAAACACTGACAGGGTATTTGGCAATAATGATGGAATTAGTATTATTTTTTTCTTTATATGCAATGGTATTTGGTTATTTTTTTTAAAGGTCTTAATTTGCAGTATATACTGAAGTATTTATATATGAAATTATATAATGCTTAGTTTGCTTTAAATTAACATGGAGGGGAGGGGGAGGGGATCTCAGCAGGGTGGTAACAAATTAAGATGAAACAAGACTGTCCACGCACTGATGGCTGTTTAAGCTGGATGATGGGTATTCCCTCTGGGTTTATATGTAAAATATTTCATTTAAAAAAAGAAATAAAGGAGAAAGGGAGATGAGAAGAAGAGGAGGAAGGAAGGGAGGGAGGGGGGAGGCTAGCTACTGTA